CCCACTATCTAGGTTTACTGTACTCTCAGCCAGGTGGCAAATTTCAGTACTCGCAGAAACTAGTAGTCAATTAAATTATTTGCACAACTATACCACTTCCTGAATATTGAATGATATCACGTATTCACGGTGCGTTCCATGGATGCTATCACCTCTCCCGATGATTGACGAAGGATACCTATAGATCGGTAGAATAAAGAAGGCTCTTGAACATAAACCGCCTTCTCAAGGCCATGAAGTGCCATCGCCATCTGTCCATAGAGCGGAAAGACTTGGTCGACAATAAAGTCATTTTGGTTCGGTGATGATCGGGCCCATAAATCTTTTAGAAACATATCGAAATGAGCGATAGTTAAGGAGAATCTACTCCCAAGTTTGCGGCCGATATCACGCGGAATTGGAGCTTTTATAGTTGATGCCAGGGTAGCTAAGGCCTCAATATCGTGTAGGGAAAGCCAGATATTGATCGATGCTGGGAATACGCGACGCATAGATAATCTGTGATCAACACCTCGGCACCTTAGACTTGTATAGCGGCAGAGCTCACTGGCGGATTCTAATGGAAAGGTATCGATAAGGATGACTTTGCTGAAGAATCTCTGCAGTATTGTCATTTCTTCTTTATTTTCGGCTGCTTTGAAATACAAAGCCTCCTTTGCTGCACATGCAGTTATAAGAAATATTATCTGCTCGTCGCATTGAATATTCTTTGTAACGATACTGTGTAAGGCTTGTGCGTAAACCGGTTGCGCGAGATGCTTTGGACTGCTGGACAACTTTTGGTGGGAGAGTACCATCGTGACTCCAAGTCCTAAGATAAAGGAAACTGGCTCAGTAGAAGACAGGAGAAACGAGGCCAGCGGTTGAAGTGTATCTTTATCCGGCATAAGTACACCTTCTAACCCTATCCAAGCAGCGAAGTAATTCTGTAGATTCGGTATGCACCAGAATAAATCCTGGGGTATTCTAGAATGGATGAGATTCCTTATTATACTATTAGTAATTGGATAAGATCCAAGCAATAAGTAAATCTGCTTACAGGAATAATGCAGTGACTTGTCGATCAAAGTAATTTGGTTCTATAATAGGTCTTTGTGCAGGAGCTTCTTCAAGGAAATCAGTTGCAGGCTGATATTGTGTATTGTCGGCGGTATCCATATTTTGACCACTGGACAGATTGCTCTGCTCAGAATTGATTCTCAGTTGAGAGTTGCACGGTATAGAGGTGAATCGGAGAGGAAGTTCCTTATTCAGATCGCTAAGTTGATATGACATCGACGTTGCGTTACCTATTATATCCGGACCATAACGATTATTGCCTTGCTCGGGATTCATCTTTGGCAGAGGGCTGCACGAGGTAAGTTGTAGACTGTCCCTATCAGACCTGGGGGACCAAACCAGAGGTTCCTCATACTCGACGACTTCACGTGGTGTTGGCGTTGGAGAACGCGAAGCGTCATTAAGCGTAGTGACAGTCGGTGATCTAGCTCCAATGAGCTGGTCTTCTACGAAGGATGACCCCGGAGCATTTCGAGTGATGATTCTATACTTCCGGCGATGGACGTGCTGGCATTGCAACCCACGCTTCGTACATTGGTCACAGGGTATTTGCTCCGAACACTGTCTTCCTTAGCTTAAGTACCCTCCCCTCCTATCATCTGTTGAGAGCATTGGTAACTTACCTTGATTTTTCCTTTACGACATAAATCACATGCCCGGGAAACCTTTAAGACAAGTAAGTATAGTCCAGAATGAAAGTGTCTTCCGGAAGTTATTGACCTTCTTTATGCAACGACACTTCTCTCCCGTCGTTATAAACCTAGCGTCACGCCGTTGTTCAGAGTCCTACTCTAGTTAGATTGTATGCCCCTCTACACGTGATTGTAGATCACCTTCAGCTGTTGCCTGCCGCACTTGTAACAGAGTGGTATGTTTTGTTGCTGAAAGGAGATGCATTCTATACCACGTTTGGTACATCGAGGGCAGGGCCGCTTCTCAGTGCACTGTTGTTGGTTAGATAAATGTCCTTATCGTTTATACGGTTACACTGAATTACCTTTGTTTTTTGGAAATAGCAGAAATGGCAGGCCCATGGCTAACGAAGTAAGCATTGTCCTCCTACCTTGGATGAACATACCATTTTCGTTCTTGATCAGGCTCGGTGAACATTCAATGAGTTCATGAAAAGCTTTCAAAGCGAGATAGTAATGAAATAAGAGCACAGAACGGCTTATAGAAGGGGATAGTCCATGAAATATGTGGAAAACTTCCGCATTTATATCATTCCCAGCGACTGGTCCATTATACTCCGCTAGAATGTCACCTTATCCCATAAGTTCGGAATTGTACCTCTGAGAAACGAACTTACGCGCAGCGATCAGCGGTGGCTATGTTCTATTAATATGACCAGGGTACACAAAAGCAAGATAACATCCCTGTCCGCTAACTGCTTACTCTGCTTAGATATTAGAAGCAACTGTGCCGCACCCATCCTTCCCCCCAAAGGGATCAGATAACTAGCGAAGTTCTGTTTCAACCAATTAATTCTGGCGGATTGCGCAGGTCTACTCCAGAAGAGGGTTTCGCCTGACTCGTACGCCAGCTGATTCCCTGTTTCTGTCTCTAGCCAATGATGTTTAATAGTTTGTCTATCCAGAACTTAGCGCGTGTCCGACCACTCTTCAATGATACACAGCTAGGAGATAGCGGCAAGCAGCGATTAGTCCAGATGACTCGTGCTTTGGCGATTTTATACAGGATATTGCAATCTACATAAAGAAGTCCCCGAAATGTTAACTATTAGAAGAGTAGCGTTGTCCGGTACTGGTTCGATCACTTCCTATCTAGTATACTAGGATTCTACTCCCGCTACAGCTGTGGCGTCCCTGGAAGGTATAATGGTGCGATCCCACATCATACCTGCTGACCAATTGCTTGAAAGGCATAATAGTACTGGCTAGCCTAGAAAAACAAACCAAGATCCTACGCAGAGTCATAGTTTTGATACAGTTGTGCACGTATCTAATGTGAGGATACTCGAAAACTTCAGAAGTAGGAGTTAAAAAGGTAGGGTAGGAACAACCCTTGGAAATGGTGAAGATATAGAAAACACACTAGGTACATGAGGTTGCCAGATTATTAGACTCCACTATAAAACGACAAGCAAAATAAAATAAAAAATTCCCCCCTCCTTATTAAACAATGCCACCCTCAGCCTTCCAGACACGCCCTAGACAGGGGTTTTGCATAACTGCCTTTTCCTTCGAGGATTATGTCTCTCCACTTCCAGCCGGGTACTTTTGTGGCGAGAAACAAAGTCCCTTGGTTGATGTGATTATTCATTGTCAAACTTGATCGATCATTTGGATTGTGAGGGAAACTATCATTTCTCTGATTCATCGGATCCCTGGGCCCCTGTGGTATCGTAGCCTCCTCGACCCATATTTTCCAGTTTAGAGTGTTGGCCTGACGGTTACTAGAAAGTATCTCTGTCAGTCCATATCCTGCTTTAATAACATGACAACTCACCACCACTGCACGAAATTCACTGGTAAAAACTAAAGGTACCGCCCCAGGGGGTGCAGCTGCTTATAAGATATTGAAAGCAAGTGTGTCCTGATGTTTTTTGGTAGGAAGATTTAGGGAGAGAAAAGGACGATATATATACTACTCTTCGTACATACGTAAACGAGACTGCCAGATAATTTGACATACAATCAATTTCTAGACGGGTTATCCAGCCACTCTTCTTTTCCATATCTATTTCTCCCCACTACGAATAGTGGTTTCACTTCAGCCGCTCTATACTCAACAAAGTAGGTTTATGGAGCCAGGGCTGTGGCGAATATTAACTGACTCGTGAGCAATCATCAGCGGTTACTCCACGAGTCTCAGAAGTTCTAGAATCACAGCCTTTATTCCCCACATAAGCCCAAGATGTAACATATATAGACACTTGATATCATTATAGGAAGCCGGTCGATAAAAGAACATGATATGCAGCGATCAACACTTGCTATGTTACATCGATACGACCGCGTTCTACGCAACGAACTAAATTTGAACGGAATTAGCCACAGGATATTGCGATCTACAGGGAAAGCGGCGACAAAGTGAGAAGCGTCTAGAGGCTTGTATAGTGTACCGGGATTTTGCTCCTGCTGCAGCCGTAGAGTCCCTGGAAGGTGTAATGGTGCGATCCCGCTGACCAATTGCTAGAAAGGCATAATAGTACTGGCTAGCCTAAAAGTCTGTAGCGTAAAGGCTCGGCTATGCGAGACACTCTGGACAACTTTCGTGGCCGCATGCACGACAGCGTCCCCAATCGCTTCTGACCACCACTTCTTTTTCACACCTACAACAGAATCGTCTCAAACGCATACATGGCAATTTCTCTACCCGGCCACTTTGATGGTTGTCTCTAGCCCTCTTGAATACTAGAGGAAGATTATCCTCGTTTAAGCCCTTCTCTTGTGTTTTATTAGCTTATGTATCCGATAGATAACTTTTATCTTACCATCTGGTAGTTTCTCAGAACTTTCCTTCTTTCTCGGAATAAATCCCTCCCTTTCTGCAATAGTATTATGGCGTTTTCTGTTCTTCTAAGGGCTTAGTGGACAACTTCTTAACAGCTTCCGTGAAAACATACAGCACTCATGTTGCTTATTATACAGATCACGAGGGAAATATCTTTTCTTGAAGAAAGGCCGCACAAGACACAGAGTAAGAAAGCCTAAGAGCCAGAGGACGAACAATAGTATTATAAAGGTATTCATGGTTATCATTATAAGAATGCTACAGGGCAAGAAACCCTGCCTTATATACTCCGGACAAGCTAACCCCGTATCATCACTACATGTACGATATATCTGAATCGCTAGTTTCTCGGCAGATGACTTTCGTATATACATTTATGGTATGTAACTAACCAACTGACAGACGAATTAAAGACAAAGAAAAGGGCAGATACAAGGAATCAGGGAATGACCAACCCAATGAGATCAGTCGGCCACAGCAGCATCCAATTCAGTGCGGGCTTTTACATAACCAAACGGAACGGACGCGCAGAACTTGAGGTCATTGTAGCAGAACAGCGCCTCAATCTCAGTTTCATCTGAGTCTGGTTCACTAAATTCGCGCGTATTGAGCTCACAATCGTCAAGAGGTATAGAAATGGGATACAGACATATGAAAGTGGCAAAGTGAAATTCTACCATCCACAAACCGGTGCATTTATCGACAAATGTTGGACAAGGGAAGACGATGTCGGTATCCTCTATGATGATTCTCTCATCTGATTGGAAGGAAGCTGTTCCGGGATTTTCGACCAGAGTACTTGCGTCAGACACATCGTCAGGGATGGAACTCCTGGTCTCCGTATCTTGGCCAGAGCCACAATCCGCTTGTGGGTCAATGTGAGTAGTCTCCACAACAGTGTGGGTTATAGCAATGGAGTTGTCCTTGTTGATATATGTGACAGCGGTCATCTACCGGTATGCCTATATTAGACCTTTCCAAGTTCACTGGTGCTTGATACTCACAGCTTCTATCCTTGCCCCAATGGGTATCTCACCCTCGAAGGAAGTTAGATCATCGCATTCCTCATCGGATTCTTCGTATCCTCGCAGGCAGCAAAGGAAGGTGTAGTAAAAAGACACGATTCGACGGATGTACATGATTAGAATGGCTGTTGAAAGAATATGTGTCCGTGCGAACTTGCGGTGACCACTTGGGATAAGGCTGGCATCTTTATAGATACGATTGCGCTCTAGGATATAGTGGATATTGGTCGATATCCTGATTGCTAATTTCGCACACGATGTTCGGCACAGGAAATAAGCTGTAAACCAAGGGGGGAAATCCTTTCAATAGGTCACCTCCGAAAATATAGTGGTTACTATTGGTTCCTGTCAGTTATAAATTAAAGATCTTAATATGACTGGCATGTCTACATCTGCAAGACAGAATGGGCAAAGTGGACAGAGTGGACAGAGTGGACAGAGTGGACAGAGTGGACAGAGTGGACAGAGTGGACAGAGTGGACAGAGTGGACAGAGTGGACAGAGTGGACAGATAGATAGGGTGTGGGAGCATTTAGAAACCCAATTAGTATTTTATTTTACTTTTGACACGAATAAGTAAATCTGTACAAGAAACAGTCCCTAGTATTGTGGCCTGATAAGCGAAGCATTGAGCGCTCAAATCACAGGGCTCGAAGTTTTCCTATCTCAATCATGGCATCTAGCCTGGCAACCCCACACAATCATCTCCATGCCACCTCTCTCGTACCCCACTGATTCCCAATATCACCCATACGTCAAAAAACATCATGGCCACAAAGTGAGCCAAAAAAAAAAAAAAAAAAAAAAAAAAAAAAAAAAAAAAAAAAAAAAAAAAAAAAAAAAAAAAAAAAAAAAAAAAATCTCACACCCCTTTGAAGATGGTGAAGGACAGGTTAAAGATATGGGAAGATGATGTATGTAGCTAGTACAAGGTAACATGTTCTTGATCTCTTCTTCCGAAACGTTGAAGTATCATTTAGTAGAGATATAATTCGAGATAATGTTATACTATCATATTCCAGAAGGATATCACATATAAGTTCAATGTGCGGATTTGTCGACATAGGACCATCTCGCCGAATGGATAACATATGCGAGTTTATTGACCAAATAGTATCTCCGGCTTTACTATTATCATGTCCTTTAGACACTCGGCCAAAGGTTAAATATTGAACCGCACGTTGAGTCCTCCGATTGCCCCTGACAAGCAGTTGTGCTCTTAATGTGTTTTGAACTATGCAAGAGCTTTAAAAGATATCCTGTTTTCTGCAAATGTACTACCGTATCCGGCAAGCAAGCGTTCCAGAGTGCGAATTGTTGACATACATTTAGGCTTCCAAGAATGAAATGGCGATTATGAGTCACGTGCATAAAAATGGCGAAATTAGCCACAGTGTGGCTGAGCGGGATGGGTACCTGAAATGTCGATAGTGGGGTTGGGCCATTTTCTTTCGAAGTCTTTTTAGAGACCTTCGCTTGATTTTATTGAACTACCCATCCGTGTGGGCTATTTGAAGACATATATATTTCAAAACGATACGCTTATAAAGTAAGTCCTGTCCAAATATTCGCTTTTCTTGCCACTTGGGTATTCCTTATTAACGACTCTGGTGTCAAGAACCCCCGCGTCAAAGGCCGACGTAACTCTAATAACGACACCCCTATCGAGTATGACAGAACTAATGACAGAAGAGTATTTGGTATGCTAACAAAGTCAACTCCTTGAAAGTTAGGCTAACAACTTTCAGCGCAAGGCATGGAGAAATCTCTCGGACCCAGCTATCTTTGATAAATATCTCACGCACCCGTTCACCACCTATAACGCAGAGAACTTCCAAAGGAATCTATATTGTTTCAACTGTGATGAAGTTAGGTTTCAGAACGAGAAGGGGACCATCTGGATCGCCAAGGGGAGTGGTGAAATCATACTCCCTCCTAAGATTAGTGTATTTATTAAGGGCGGGAGATCGCGACTTACAGATACGGAATAAATGTTAAAGGCAGAATGACGACAATTCTCTAAATGCTATCCTGGGAGCTTTCTGCATACAACCGATTCGCCAAATTTACCCCCGCATAAAATCCGATGCGCAACCGGATGATTCCATGATGTGGTTGTGCCCGCCATATCTGCATTGTGACACAGTCTGTCGTATCGACTAACAGCTGCTCCCTTTCCCAATTTCTCAGTTCGCTGTCCTTTATACCTTCGCAAATATCGCTGCCGAAGACTGATGCGATTGCCGAGACCGATGCTCCTCGCAAAGTAAAATACGCAAAATCTAGTGCAGACGGAATTAGAGGTTGCGTTCATGCATGTTCTAGCCCTTCATACCGATTTCTGGTGAGGCTGCAAGTGAGCCCCCAGTCCCTGAGCCCGAAGCGATTCCAGAAGAATTTGTCTGGGGCATGGTAGAAGAATTTGCGGAGAGAACAGAAGCAATTCTTCGGGCGGCGGTTGGAAACAACACATCAGCAAGTTCGATAGCCGACCCTACCTCAAGAGAGATAATTGTGTCTTCTGAGCATTCATACGGAATTTTTGTCCAGACACTTTCAGTTTTCTCCGAATAGTAACCATTCGCTCTTGCTGTTGTTCGACTAGGAGAGTGTTCAATTGCATCAGAGACAATATTACCAAAAGAATTGCGAATCGCGGTAATATTACTTAGATATAGGGAATAATGCTGTTCGCCCTCAGCCTCAGTTGTCGGACGAGATAATGGGTAAATTGTACGCATGAACTGTATAAAACGGGTAGCTTTATCAAAGTCATGTTTCCTAGCGATATTCCAAAGGAGTGACTGTGCATTGTTGTGGAGAAAATGCCTCCCCTTCTTTTGGTGATGCTCACGAAAGTTCGAGATATCAAAGGATGAGCAACTTCTCGGGGAAACACTCAGGATAAAAGGGAGGAAGATATCTGGATCTGTCTGAAGGACTTCCAGGTAAATTTGTCGAGCCCTTTTCCAACGATGTTGAGCCACATAGTCTCGGTTTTGACGTCTGCTGGTACTATGTTGCTCTGTGAGTATGGGTTTGAAGGCTATAGCTAAGCGCTCCTCCAGCAATTCGATGGAGCCTTCAGGAATGGTCTGGCTGCTATTGAGATTTGTCCATGTCTTGTAAATGAGATCCAAGATAGACTGAGTTGATCTCATGATTCTCAGGTAGTAAATTTGGTGATATGGAAGGAAAGATTAGTGGACAGAGTGGACAGAATGGACAGAATGGACAGAGTGGACAGAACGGACAGAATGGACAGAATGGACAGAGTGGACAGAATCGACAGAATCGACAGAGTGGACAGAACGGACAGAATGGACAGAATGGACAGAATGGACAGAATGGACAGAATGGACAGAATGGACAGAACGGACAGAATGGACAGAGTGGACAGAATGGACAGAATCGACAGAGTGGACAGAGTGGGGATAATCTTTAATTTAAAACTAGAAGACCTAGCTTTCTTGGTTGGTTGCTCACGTGATTAACGTTCGCAAGCTTGTGCTTGACTGGCTGTCCTATTGTGCTAAGTGGGTATAAGATAAATCCAATCAAGAATATTGCCCTTTTTGATCACGATGAGCTTCCAATAGAATTATACTCATAAGCGCCCACAAGCCAGTCTTCTGGGATTATCTATTGGATATCTGGAGACACTAGTCTGCCCGCCACAATCTACAGTGAACAAATTGGAAATAACACTGGATATTCTGTCCTTGCCTACAGCTTTCCCATCAGCTCACACTGCCAATCATCGCTACTAACCTCACAACTGGTACATTAGTTTCCCTGTCCTCGGCCAAATAAAGTAACAATCCATTCTCCACATGATCTCAAAAAGACTGCTCCGATCTGCAGCACCAAATGTCCTGACCACCGCAATAATTCATTTGGTATGCTGCCGCAATTGTGTAAGCTACTGTGAGATATCTCCTGCGTCAAACTGAGACGTCGAGCAGGCTCTAGGGACCCATTGGATGAGCTGGGCATACTAATGTTCTCGCGTATGAATCAAGGGGTCCGGTATAGCGCTATGACCATTCGTGTTCGATGGTCTACCAAGTTTCATTGATTAGCGCTTCCTAGAGCGCGAGTTGGCATGTGCAATAGTAAATCTTATGGCAATTTGGCGCATGTAGGTTCCAATACTCAGAATGCCCTCGAGCAGATAACTTAGTCGCTCGGTGCTGGTACTTTTGTCCACGAAACGATCGACCCAAGATATAAATACCTCAGCCCTGGGCTTTGTCCAACGGGTAGGTAAATATTACTCTACATTCTCTTCATTCATATCATTTCCAGCCAACTCTGATTGCAATGTTCCAATCAACTGCACGCCGTTTCTATCAAATAATCGGTAAAACCAAATTGACCGACCTCCCTCTTGAATGGCAAGCTCCTGTATCCCAATTTCTTGATGCAGAAGAAAAGGCGGTTAGTAATCCGTTATTGTATGACTTAAACATTAGCTTACAAGGTATAATAGGACCCAGAGTTCAAGAATGCCGAGATCAGGTATCCCATTCCAAAAGCCCGATTTGCTCCTGTGTTGAACTAATGGGACCTTAGGGGCTCCAGACCGCATCTCTCACACGATGACCCGAGCGACAAGGAAGATGTGATATCTGTCCGTCTCAAAGATGCAGATAATAAAACTATGCGAAGGATTCACATCCACCAAGATGGATCAGCTAAGAAAATCACCGGTTGAGTGCCAAACTGTAGCTGGGATGGAGAGGATATGTGCAGTTTCGATTGAATGTGCATTTCATGACTGAATAATCTGGAAACATCACAGCCTTGTCAAGTGTTCGTGGAAACGCATGTACCATTTCAATCACTGTCACGTTATATTGGTAGATGCACTTCAAATACAGAATGTGGGTTCAGTTATTGCATATCGGTTCATCTATGTTTTCTTTACCAATTCACGGAGCTCTTTCGACCAAAAATACAAGAAACATTGTTGACTGGGTTTTTGTTATTCAGCCGGAGGTTTTAGGCTTATATTTATCTTGTCGGTCAATCTTTATACTCTCATTTTAGGGCAGCCCCTCTTTAGTGGCATTCAATTCCTATGGACAGCCTTGTTCGTCAGCTCTGCCAAGCATTTAAAATTAGCTACCATTAGTCCGCTATACCTTTCAGCTGAAGGAGTGGGTCACCACTAGAAGAAAATGAGGTTTACCGCGGCTACCCTCCTTGGCGTTCCCCAATTCTAACCATTGTCAACCATTTTTTTTGACTGCTTGAATGCAAGCCACATTAGCTGCCATAGTTACTAAGTAAGGGGTTGGCACGGCAGATGACGTAATCATATTCAACCCAACAAATGCCAGATAAAAGCTAACTGTAGTGCCTAGTTCTTGTACCCATCGTTACCAAGCTTCACATTAGCTTAGCGATGTTCCACCTACTGCGACAGTTGCTCCAGCGCTCTGTTTTACGACGTGCTCCTTCACCGGCGCGGCATTTTTCTCAAACTAACTTTCTCCTTCTCGATACAACCCAGAAATTCGAGGAAGAAACGCTTCCGTGGTATTCGCCAGATCGTTTCTATCCCGTGAATATTGGTGAAATTTTTCGTTCGAGATACCAGGTGGTTGGGAAGTTGGGTTATGGGGGGTATTCTACAGTATGGCTTTGCAGGGACCTACAGTAAGTCCACTTCATTTTTGTTCCGCAACTAATGAGAAAAATTGACATTATATTAGGCAACATGGCTACGTCACTTTGAAGGTGTGCGAGCGCGATTCCGCCGAGGGCATAAGAGAAATGGAAGTCTACAATCATCTCAATAGCCTCAACGCGCGCCATGATGGTGCCACGCTTATTCGAACAGCGCTCGACAACTTCCAAATAAGCTCTTTAGAAGGCAACTACCAGTGCTTTATTCATATACCATTGGGCATAAGTCTTTATGACTTCCGGAATCAGCTCGCTGCGAAAGTTCTTCCTGAGAAAATACTTAAATTGACTTTGTTACACGTTCTTTTGGCTCTTGATTTTCTCCACACAGAAGCAGGCATCATCCATACTGGTATGATCAGCCCGCTATTCTGTAACGGCTGATTCTAACACTGGTCCATACTAGACATACAAGAAAAGAATATCATGCTTGGTATTGAAGACAAATCAATCCTGGCTGATTTCGAAGAGGGCGAGAAATCTAATCCTAGTCCCCGGAAGATAGTTGGCGGTCGAATAACCTATTCCTCACGCAAACTCAGAAGGACTAAGCAACATGGTCGACCTATACTATGTGATTTTGGCCAGGCTCGTTTTGGCTCAAGCACATACTTTGGAGATATTCAGCCGTATATATATCGGGCCCCTGAAGTGATATTGCAGATGCCTTGGGATCATAAAGTTGATATTTGGAATTTGGGGGTCGTAGTATGTAGTTCACTTTCAAACCACCGCGTTATCTATCACGATGACCAGCCCGGTCTTTTCGGACTAACATGAGGACTGCCACAGACGTGGGACCTATTTCAAAAAGGACATCTATTCTACGGTCGGGATACAGACAAGCAGAATTCCGATGGCCACCACCTTGCTGAGCTGATTGCGCTTCTTGGGCTACCACCAAAGGACATGCTTCGAAAGAGCGACTATGCTGCAGGATTCTTTGATGACGAAGGTTTGTTTATCAGTACTGTTTTATTGTTCCTGATATTAACCAGGTAACACTAGGTAATTGGAAAGGGGTCGTTCAAATCCCATCGATGTCGTTGGAGGACTTAGAAGGGAATCTCGAGGGCTCGCAAAGAAAACTGTTTCTTCAATTTATGCGCAAGATGCTTCGATGGCGACCGGAGGAAAGGGAATCGGCAAAGGAACTCTTATCAGATCCTTGGTTGAGGTCTCCTTAACCTACATCAACACGGAAATTTTGGTTTTTTCTGTGTCCATCCAGTTTTGATCATCTCTCGGCGAGACATTTGCCCACCTAGACAGGACTCGAACACACACTTATATAATCAACTTCTGTCATAGGATTGTATAATCAGCTCTTGGAGGGAAGTATTAATGTCCCAAGGAGTAACAATGGTTTTCTAGGGAGTGTTGCCGCTCCCAGCTCCGTTAGCCATGTCAACAGATATATATTCATCTATGTGCCTGACGGGCCAATAAGATGCCCAAAACAACCTAGAAGTCACTTACTGCGGGTTAGAGTAGGGGCTACGGATAATTGAGGGATGTACATAGTGATAACGGCTTTGCAGAGTCTACATACATGGGACAACCGGATAACAGCGAGGAGAATACGCCAGTGCCTCATTACAGCGTACGTAGATCTAATCCATTCGAGCTCTACCCTGAAATAGACGACAGCAACGAATAGAATAGCTGCGTGAGTAGAGTCACTGCTCTATTATAAATCAGCAATGGCACGGCTGTCATGAAGAAGCAACTGAAATACGCGGAATCTGCCTTGACCACGCCAGGAGTTGGCCCTTCATACCACCCTTACACTCTACATCAAAGGATGGCACCGAGAAACTGCCCTTCAAATGTTTAACTTCCAGGGCGACGACAAAGCCAACATATTCTCCAGTGGTAGTTGAGGACGTGGGTGTCCCTCGCATGAATAAATAAGACGTCGTCTCTTAAAGCTTACCCACAGATTCACTGTGTATCTTGGAATATTGAACTTGAGATGCCTGGCTCCGATGTTTGGAGTGTTTCGCGACTTCTCGCCTGGACAAACCGTGTTGTCATTCCGGGCACTTTGCGTAATAGCCGCTGGAAGACAAAGTACACACCCGGGTGATGATGCTGCCTAGGTCGCCAGTTTGAGCCAGAGTAGTCAAGCACGGTTATCCTCATCGTCCGTACTAGGCTCTAAGGAGAGGTTTGCATGTGGCTTGTACATCGTTCAGAATGCCAATATACTATCACCTTTCCCGCGAAGTATTAATCCTCTTTTCTCCTGAAGGTCGTACTCCAGTGCACCTGGATCGCGCCAAGACTTCTCCCTGGGTATTCCTCGGAGAATAACCTCTCGATCTCTTTCCAAGACCGCTTCTCATACTTCTTCAGCTTCAGCAGAAGAGTGTCCTCCTCCGGGGACCATTTAATACCCTTTCTCGAGTTTTCTATTACCTCCATGCTACCCCGCGGCGCTTGCTCAATCACGTCAGGGAGAGTAGAGTGACTGGCTGCCCGCGCATCTTCTTGTTCAGATACTGTGAGAGAATAGTCTGACATACAACGTGGCAAAGCACCTTCGAAAAGCCAAGAGAGGAACTGCAAACGTTCATCAAGTGGTAGAGATAAGAAATGAGAACGAAGGCCGGTGAAGGAATGCTCCCTTGTTGGTAATCGGAGAGGAAGTCGAATCCGTTTGGCAGCTCTTCCTCCCGATCCCGATCGCTGTGTCTTTCGCTTATGTTTTTTAGACTGTTCGCCATGGAGGTTCTCACTTGTGTCGTTAGAGCAAGATGTGTCGGCTTCACTGTTGTGATTGGAAGAATTCAATTGTCGATGCCCCTGGGTGCGAGGGTGGTCGCTTGTTTTAGTATTACCACCCTGGCTGCCGGGGTCTTTGCTGGGACTCCGGAGTTGATCGGGTGTGTCGCAAAGAGTTGGAGGTTCAGGATATGGACAAATTGTCTCTGGAAACATAAGATCATCACATTGCTGGATATGTTGGTGAAGGCCGCTAGCCTCCTCCTCCCAAGGCTTATTGTCGGCAAGGATCACTGGGTCAATGGGAATATTGCTCTGTAGACCTGGAAAGCTGAACTCTTCCAAGCTATCCTCTGAGCTAGTGCTGGGTGAAGATTGGCCAACCCCTGCGGTGTCTTCCGGAAGGAACGGTGGCTCGATTGGAGCATCCGTGATATCTTCGAGATAACAGGGTGGAATTGGATCCGAATTTGATGTGCGATCTACTGGATAGCATGTAGATATTGTGCCGTGCTCGGGGATTTTCGAAGATAGCGTGTTCGGCAGCGGTATAGAACACTCCCTTAGTGGAGGTTGGGAGTTCAACGTACACGGCCGAGTGTCTGCACTGATACGCAAGCAAACTTCGGCCGGTGGCCGCGCTGGGAGGCAATGTTTGGGAGTGGGCAAAGTGCTTGGAAAGGAATCATGACGAGGCTTGTAGGGAGGGGGGGTATCGAGTTTTGGGGTGGGTATGGGAGTGCGCGGAGCGCGCGAAGTGAGGGATTTATGGGGTGGGAATGGTTTAGTGTGAGGGGGAGCCCACGGCTTGAAGTTGTTTATGTGGAATGTAGGGAACATGTTACAGAAAATGAGGTATTTCGGCAGGAAAGGCGTTGGGGAGACAGCAACAGGAAGATGGAATGGAAATTGAAAGGAAGACTGTAGGTGCCAAGAAATAAATCACAATACCGGCAACTCTTTGCAGCTTTGACTGGCCTCTTTATATGTGCTCTCGGCGCGTCGACTCGACCATTCCTCCAATCCTCCAATCTTACCGGCCGCGCGGGGGGACCACCGCCGATGTTTCCATCTTCATCGAAAGTGTCGCTTGTAGGCTGACATCCGGTGCCCTACGCCAATAGCATACGGTCATGCCAGCTCCAGGTCTCACATGTCAAGAGACAAAGACATACACTTCAATACAAGAAATGCGGCAATTTCGCTATTGGCTGGTAAAACAAGGCGAGAGCACGTAAAGAGAATCAGATCGTGGGTCAATGCACAGCTTTGAGAGGAGGAGACGCAACCTAGGTCACCCGAGCCTAAGGATACTGGCCATCCCAGGTATGTGGATGAGCGGTGGCCCTTTTCCCTGTCCAGAATCCCAAAAATCTGTGCATACAGTGATCATGAGGCTTGACGCAAGGTATCAATAATAAAAAATGCAGAACAGAGGAAGCAGAACTCGAAAACAACGAAAGAAGAAAAGAAAAGACCGGAGAGGAGACGGGGGAAGAGACCGGGAAAATCAAAGGTCAAAATCACCGATCAACTCGCACACGCTGAGGCAAAATCCATGCCGGCAGTAAGATCCCAGTAGCTAAGCAGGAGAACAGTGTCAGAGGCGCCATGGTTAACCCAAATGCCAATGAATCGACTGCTAAAAATGCCTCAATTCCATCAGATGACCCGTCGGCGACTCCGTAGCTGAAAAGGGCGAAAAGAGGAGAGTGGGAAGTGGGACGACATCATACCGAAAAAGGGCAATCATCGGATAACGCGGCACCCTCACAAGGGGGCAGTGCATTGGGGGCGAGGGGACAGCAGGGGAGAAAGCGAAAGACAAAGTGCGTCGTCGTTTGAAGGAGAGGTGTCAGGCTTATATAGATGCCGCGGATTGTATTAGGCGGCGGGGGAAGCCCGCAAAAGCGGCGAGAGAGCAACGCGATTCCCAAAGTGGCGAGTACTATACCGCAAGAGGTAGGAACATATCCGCCGGTAGCAGGCGGTGGCGGGTGGCAGATGAACCGTGCAATGGGAGCCGTTTTCAGCGCCCCGCTAACCGTGTCAACGGATACTATATTATATTATAATAATTTATACGCGCTTAAACTATATATATAAAAATTTAAGATTTTTATATTTAACGCGCTGATAGTTATAGCGGCGTAAAAATTAAGTTTTTAATTTCTTATGGTATTTAATAAAAGTATATATCCAATTTTTATTAACAGTAGTAGGCGTATCAGTAAAACCACATTTTAAAAATAAGATATTAGCTATTTCTCGTATATGAGTAGGTCGAGAAGGTACTCTACACTAATCTAGCGATAGAATCCAGTGTACTAGTAAATTCTTCTTATTTTAAGTTAATTTATAGCTATTAGCGCGCGTTTCGGCTTGAAAAGTATAGCTATTTAAATGTCTTCGAAAAATAATATATAAAATATTATAGATACGTGCTACTTCAGCTATAGTGCGAATTTCTTATTTTTTAATAGTTGAAATTGCTAGTAGAATTTTATCTTCTTATTTAATAGAATCTTTTAACTTTCTGGCTACTTTTGGTGGCATAGTTGGTGGTTGAAATATATAGATTCTTTAAGTGTGGTTGAAATTAGTTAACGTAACCGCTCGCCCGGGATAGCCACTCGCCCGTGGATTATGTTAAAAGTTAACTAGAGATGAAGAATCACTAAATTAGGGCTAATTTAGTATTTGTATCCATACTGAGGTTCATTTGGTTGTGAGCAGGGTACCCGCTGTTGGACTAGAACATCACAAACAAGGGGACTTTTCGGCACTTTCACCGTCAATCTTGATCAAATTAGATTTGATCCACAGGGATTACTCCATACAAACCCTATGGGTCATTCAGATAAATTCCAAGAGTTAAATCTATAGGAATTGACATGCGAGCTGATCAACCTCTTCTTAATGTCCCAATCTACGCCGCGAGCCTTTTACAATCTGCCATTGTCCTTACCTCCTCTTCCGTGATCAACATATATTTTCTTTGTTCCGCAGAAAACATCATATCCGCTCCTCGAGACAAGATAGACAGAACCAGGTTTCCCACTACAGCTATGTTTCGGCGCCCGAGAGAGACTGAGCCCGACAGGTTCTCAAAGAGACTTAGCGAAACACTTCAACCTCTCACTGTGATTCCTTGGGGCGGGCTCGCAATGTGCTATCTGGGCGTCCCCATCGCCATTGGGGTAATATGCAACCTGAGAAGTAAAACGGTGAACGTATCCTTTGCGCCTGCTAACCATTTTCCTATCCCTGTAGGCCTCTATGGTTGTGGTGCAGGACAATGACTACACCGCTGCCATTGAAAAGCTTGAGGGCGCAGGATTCAATCGAAATGTTCCAAATCGCACCCCTGCCCCCGAAATTATGGAGAATCATCCCAACCCACAGCAGATGATGGAGGAAATCAATGCTGGCTACCAACGCTTGGATCAGTCTTGTGCCGTATTTGATTATCCACAAGGTGATCCAGAAAAGGGCTTGCAGTTGTATCTATTTCCGAACTCCTTTGCACATATTTTTCGAGACGAAATCCCCCGCTTTTCGGTCGAGATACGAGATACAGAGCGATTCGAAACCTACGGCAATTTGCACTACCCCTTAGAACAGGCACTAGTGGAAAGCTTTGTGAAGGCTGCGATCGATGAAGAAACAAACACTGGTTTTTCTGCGTGGGGCGAGTCACTGAGAGCCTGGGTATCTCTGATGACAGGATACCTAGAGGTTGATAACGATATCATCGATCATTGCCCGGATAAACAGGCAGTCGAATGGTATAGTCATAACTTTGGTCGAATTCATGAGGCAAATTTCGGTCCCATTGATCGACGCGTTACAAAACGCCTCGGCTCAGGAAAAGAAATGCCAGTAGATATGAGGGGGAATCCTATTTAACAATGATTCTCATTCAGCTACAACGAGATGGTGTGTTCGTGCTAGTTAAATATTTCAGCAAGGCAATTGAATATGATGTCCTACTTTTAGATTCGTACAGGGAAACAAGAGGGATTGGCAATCCTCAGGGAAGCGATGTTCTATCGGGGCTCAGGATTGCACCGAGGCTGAAATAAGCAGATCACTGTTCGAGAAGGTAACATTCATTTCGGGGGTTATTTCACCGATGCAGGTTCATCCATAGAAGAGTGCACAAATGCCCAGGTTTCAGTTTTGAACTTTTGCATATATTCAACGTTCGTTTCCAATAAATAGCGCGCGGCAATCAAAGAGGTGGTAGGGCGCCTAGAGGGCACCGTTAATGGTTACAATTCCATACTGCTCCTCTAGCTCCAACTATTTTTAGTAGATAAGTGATACTTCCATTGCAGATAGGAAGAGGAAGATCATGGTACATTGGCGCTAAGAGGCAATACTATCAGAACCACAGCCCGAAGAGTGAACCAGATACGCTGATTATTTGCCGTTATTTCTCTCGCGGAAGAGGTTAGATCGGAGCCTGCTCTACACAGTGTAACTACCCTGTGAGAAATTGGAGGATCTTGAAGTACTGTGTCAGTCTCTTATTTAGTGGAGCCTTGTCGTGCTGTAGATTACACTCTTGAAATAATCTGTATTTTTTAAAACCCATATATTATGGAAAGATATATACTGCAGTTACATGCATTAGAATCTAGTAATCATCTCCTCTCAGCCACTCGTCTAGTAAAAGCTCCTTCGCGGTTGGTCTTTCTTCCGGTAGCCACCGCAGAGCCTTTCGTAAGAACCGGAGGAACGGCGCTTGACTACTATCTGTCTCAAGCCTGGATTCACGGTTTTCAAGAGATTGCTCTGGGATTTCTACAGAGCCCTTCCAGTTACCTGCAACTTAGGTGAGTTATTCGGAATATCTAAAAAGTGGTCAACTTTCACCCACCATTCTCGTCCCAAAACCTGAGACTTTCTTTGCTTCTTCTCAGGAACTCAACAGGGGGCGGTCCTAAAAGAGAAATCATTTCCGCCATACGCTGAGCTTTCTCGGTCTCAGTCTCAAGGCTGACGGTTCCGAAAAGATGTCCTTGCTCAAACAGCGTCCATGCCTGCGAAGAACATGATTATTAGCTATGATAACACAGTGGATAAATGGCCTTACCATCTGCCCCAAGCCCAATATATCGACCTTATTATCCCAATCCATACCTAACAATACTTCTGGGGCCCTATATACACTGGGCATAATGAGACCGGTTTGCTTCCCTTCAGCAAGTCGTGCCTCTCCAAGATCGGCGAGCATTGGCTCGCCGCTTGTCAAAGGCATTGCACGAGTGGCATAGATAGTACGATCAGGGAGTTGTTTTCGCGGGCAGGGATTCGAGATTTCATCCTCTTCCATTTCTGCAAGGATAGAGTCGTCTTCGATGCCTAAAAGGACATTGTTCGGTTGGACGTCTAGGATGAATTAATAGGACCTATAAACTTTGCTAGAGTTATTACTCACCTGTATGGATGATATTTGCTTGGTGGAGGTTATCCAGGGCAATCAGTACAAACCGCAGGGCAGGCCGAAGGAGATTTTCCGGTAAGCTATCTCCCTCAAGACAGTGCATATAGTCACGTATGTCGATACCAGCAGGCTTATACAGGAGACATGGATGCACTCCGTACGGCCCGGGAATCTCAAACGCGTCAAGAATAAGCCGGACATATTGTTCACCGCCATGAGTGCTCTGCATGGCTTGTAGGTGTTTCGAAATCATTACCTCGGGGAGCTGTCGTTTAGTTCGAACATGCACTTTCATGACCATATAACACCGATGACTTTGGATAGATCAGTGGATATCTCAGATACTTGATTACTTATTTTGCACACGTACTGAAGGTCCCGACATAGCCATACGGTCGACGATGAGCCAAAGCCGAGTTTAGTAATAACCTGATATCTGGATTTGAAAACTTCACCAATGTGAACTGGGTAGTAGCGTTCCTCTAAATAACCAGGAAGAGTTTCTTCCTCGAATCTGGCAGTCGAATCTAAGCGATAGAATCCCGAGTCAGGAAATACGCGTGGTTGCGACATTGGAACCGTGGCAATCTTCCTGCGCTGGGAGAGGGAAAAGAAATTGAATGGTGGGTGTCTCAGTGGTGAAGCTAGGTATCTGCCAGCGCAGAAAACTGTGTTATACAACAGCCGGCCCATGACCGGCTTTTTGTTGAAAATAAATGAAACAACTACTAGGTGTTCCGTGGCCATACAGAGGTGACTGGCTGTCCGTGAAAACCGCGGCTACCCGCCCTATTTGCCTTAAAGTGATAGGCGTATTTCGCATAATCCCTTGCTTGATTGGCCTGCGCGGCTTCCAGACAACTATAACATTTAACAATATTTACTATTCACTATACACTATTGTGTCAACCAATTAGGTCTAATTATAATAATCTTGTACTCTGTTAGTAAGAACGCATGTCCAAGTAAGTCCATTCCAACTAGGCCAAAAGGTCACCCTTCACAACACTCAGGCCATTTGCCTACAAGGGTACAATGGTTCTTCAATACATTCAAAGCCCAGGTTGTCAAATGGCAACTCTAGTAACTGACCAAGCATCGAGAAATTGGGATTATCCACCCCCGACCAGCTCAGAGGCACATCTGCCGTTGGGGAGCAGCTGAAAGGGGGGTTGTCGACATTGGAGTTCTCCATCAAGTGTGGAATATTATCAGACGAGTAGAGTCGGTGCACCCAAACCCAAACGACAATATTGCAGGAGTTGGATGAAATAGGCGTAATGGCTAAGAAAACTTGAAAGGGAAGAGTAAGAATACCTAAGGTCAGCAACTATTGGACCGCTTTCTGCAGTCTTTTCTCTGGGGTACTGCACGAAGAATGTTCATACACTCGTTTCAGTAAAGCAACTGAGAAGAAAGAGAAAAAGGAAGAGCACTCTGGTCTATTATCAGCGTTCCCAATATCAATTGACTTCACTTATACCGGGCCTATGTACATCACGGTAGATATTGTAGGGTAGTTATCACTGAGAGCCCCCATTGTCCTATATGGAAATACCTTGCCTCTCTCTACCGAAGAAGTCCTCGGCATCAGCTAACCACCGCACCATGCGATCCAGTACCTTGGCCCAGACTTCCCTCTTCGCTGCGTTTCCCTCATGTACCAAGAGTTCTAAAAGGTATTCTCCCCCACCACGGGGCCATACATTCAGCCTTGGCGGCTCTGGAGGATCTGCGCGGTTCAGCTTGATCGGGATGAGGGGAACATCGTGATCGGCTGTCTGGATCTGGGAATGGTTCTCAAAGTTCTGAAAATAAAAGACAGACCCATAATCCGACACATCTCGCGGCCAATCCGTGCAATTTTTGACAATCTCTGATAGCCCGATGGCTTCATAAGCCACCGACTGATTGAATTGGGACTGCAGCGATTCCACGATTCTGTAATCCGTCACCGCTTTGCTGGCCGCGGCCGGGCTGCTCTGCTCAGGTAATTGGATCCTCACGGGGGCAAGATTCAGACACGGTCCGACAACAGTCTCCATATCGTCACCGGAAGACGGTACCACTGTGCGCCCTGATACTCCGCGACCGAAGACTATGTCATTCAGCCCCGCTGTGCGAGCGAGAGCAATGCCCCATGCGGCTGTGAAAATGGTAGCAACAGTAAATTTGTCCTTTGAGGTTTCATGTGAGAAGTGCACCGTTTGGTGCATTTGGGTTCGGGGACCAGGTTGCAATGTTGCCGGCGCTTGATTTGAGATTGCTGAGGTAGGAGCCGGGGCACCCTGCAGCTGGGCACGCCAGTGGGCGAAGGCAGCGGGTGGCGGTGAGAGCTTCATGAAGGTGGAAAAGTCGGATACCGGGGGCATAGGTCGATCGTGGTATAGGGCGCTGATACACTCGGCCATATGGCGCAGAGAAATCCCGTCGTAAAGGGCGTGGGAAAGCCCTATCACCAGCCGCGTTTGTTGACTCTGTTCCGATTCAAGAATGAAGAAATTCACGAAGGGCGAACCCGGGGCCACTTCCATAACGAGGTCATTCATGCAAATCGCTTCGCATACCTGGTCCACGGGCTCATCCCTGACAGTATGAACAGCGATATCAGGGTCGAAGCTGCGGAGGACAACCTGGAGGTAATCTCCATCGCCGTTATGCGGCAGAAAAACACACCGGAGGATCTCGATAGAGGAAACGAGTTGCTGACAGACGTTTTTTAGCTTCGTAGTGACTGAAAGTCCTTTGAAGGACATAGTGAAATAGTTCCACTCCGTGCGAGGACTTTGGAGAGCACAGCGAATAGTATATCGTTGAAAGTCTGTGACAGGAAGGATATCGGCTATCATTTTATCCGTAGTAGACAAGGCTTTTGCGATCTCTGAGACGTCTGGAAGGTCTAGTGCTAGTGGAGACAAATAGCTACTAGCCTGCACATTATCCTCTGTCATCAGAGCGATCTGGCATGCCATTTCGTCGAGACGAGGATACTGAAAGATAGTAGCGACTGACAGAGGCAGATCTTTGGCGCGGGCAGCCCCGACCAGCCGAATAGCAGTAAGGGAGTCGCCGCCCAGTTCGAAGAAGCTATCTTGGCGGCTGATCAGATCCGTTGATATTTTCAAGACGTCCGACCAGAGCACTCTCAGTGCTCTCTCACATTCGGTTTGGGGTTCTGCAATGGGGCCCTTCTGGGTCCTGGCATCCCAGTGGATGCGTGCCCCGATAATACGCAGCTTCTTGCGATCGACCTTACCTGCAGACGACAGAGGAATCTGTGGCAATAGGATAAATTCTGTTGGAACCATATATCGAGGGAGAATTTCGGTGAGCCTTCTGGTGAGGTCGTTTGCTATGACCGATGATAACGGTACTGGTTCCACTGGCGAAGAGCCTTGGTTGCCATCATTCTTCTCGGTGGTTGAAAAAAACATCATCAGTCGCTGTGATTTCTGATCTGGATTTTGCAAGGTCGAGATCTCGACAACCTCGGCCGCAACGGTATATGGTAAAGTGTCTAATAGTCTGCGCGCGTGGTATTCGACTTCTTCCAGCTCCAAACGCTGTCCACGCAGCTTCACTTGCGTGTCTACTCGGGCTACATATGTTAGTCTACCCTCACTGTCGCACGTCACCAAGTCTCCTGTGCGGTAAAACCGACTTTGAGGGCGGGAAACAAGGACTCCATTTCCATCTCGCAACCATGCAGGGTTGGAAATAAACGCGCTAGCTGTTTTAGCTGGATTATTGAGGTATCCTCGTCCTACTAAGGGACCCTCAAGCACTAGCTCACCGATGGCTCCGATTGGTACCAATCTGTTGGGCTGAAGGCAGCTGGTGACCCAAGCATTTAGTCCTCGCGGAGGGCCAATGTTGACAGTGGTGGTGAAATCCTCCCCATAGCGAGAAAGCGTGCTAGACATTGTGCACTCAGAGGGTCCGTACGAGTTGCGAATTTCAACATCGGAGCCCCATCTGGTGATATCGTCCATCTGGAGCGCTTCACCTCCAAGAGCGATCTTCTTGATCATGGGCAGTGACTTGGGATCTAGTGTTCGGGCCAAGGAAGGGGTGGTGTCGAGATGGTTCACACGCAAGCTGTGGATCGCCCGTGGGATATTGTTGCGTCGATCATCCTCAGACGGAACGCAAAGACAGCCGCCTGCATAGAATGTGTGAAGAAAGACGTACCAGGCCATATCAAAACTGTAAGACGCCAAATCCAATATTCGGTCTGTCTCATTTAATCCTGTATATGGGCCTAGATGAACCATTGCACTGCAGACGTTGGCATGCGTGATGACAGCCCCTTTGGGCGTTCCGGTACTACCAGAAGTAAATGTCACGTAGAGAGCATTGTCACCCGACAAGACGGGGATCCATGAGCCGTCCTCCGCGAGATCAGGGTCCAGTATACCCTGTAGCATTTGCTCATCGACAACGTGTACCGTGGCTGCAGACAGTTGCTGAGCGATGGCTTGGGTCGCTGGCGAAGCCAGAATTAGCCGTGGGTTAAGCTGCGATGTGATGGCGCGCAGGCGCTCCACCGCTTGGAAAGGGTCCATTGTGACCACCACCCCTCCTGCCATAATAACTGCCAGAATAGCCACAGGTGTCCAGAGACTTTTGGTACAGCAAATGGGAACCAAAACTTCAGGCCCGACGCCTTGGTGAATAACGAGCCAGTAAGCCAAGAGGCGGGCCTTGCTGAAAACTTCACGGTAGGAAAGCTCACCATCCCAGGCACAGATTGCCGGCGCATCAGGCTGTGCCTCAACTCTCTCAGCAATCAACCGGTCCACTCGTCCATCGACTTTCTCCGGGACCATGGCATTCCATGACCATATCTGTTGGCTGTCGGACCGTGATAAGAGTTGAAGCTGCGAAAGATAAATCTTATCTATAACGTCGTCATGCCTGCAAACCTCGCGTAGAGCTTGCTCAAATTGCACAAGCATTCTTTCCGCTTGGGAGGGATCAATGACGTGCTCGTCAAAACTCAAAGTTACTGAGACGTTGTTTGAAGAGGAGGCCAATGGGCCATCCAGGACACATTGCAGGATAAGAGCGTATGTCCCTCCTTTGAAGTCATCATCTCCTAGCTGCAAACGAAGAATGGTATTGCCATCTGTATCTACATCCTCTGCGGGTTGGACGACCATCAGTGACTGAAATTGACATGCTTGCTGGGCCATCGAGTTTAGTCGTTGTATTCGGCCAATCCCGTAGTGCTCGAAAGGAATCATGTCAGTTGTGGATGACTGAATTCCCTGGAGCAATGTGTGCAGAGTTGATGAGGCCCAGTTTACTTCTACCCGGATAGGAACGGTGGCAATAGTCGGGCCGGCGATGCGCTCTACACCAGGAAGTGGTGCTTGTCTGCCCATTACAACTGACCCAAAGGAAATGTCGCTCGAGTTGCAGTACTGTGAGACCAAAATCGCCCAGCTCGCTCGCAATGTGGTTGTCGGAGTGAAGTTGTTGGGCCATTTGAGGGAGCTGATCGACCGCTTCCGAGTAGATGTAGTCGTGGGTTGATATTTAGGGTTGGGAAGAGCAGGAAACTGTGGTGCAATACAGTCTGAAAGATATGTTTCCCAAAATTGAAGACCACGCTCTGCATCGACTTGCCGTTCAAGGTATTGAATGAACCGACTGTAGGGGACAAGTTGCTGCATACGTGCTTCCCCACGGTATATGGATTCCACCATCTTCGTGACCAAGGAGGCAGACCATCTATCGTAGATGGCATGATGGATTGTCATTATGAGGGTCGCAGAGCCGTCATCATTAGTGCCAGGACTAGGTTGGGGTTTGATGAGCGCAAACCGGAGAAGGGGGTCCCCAAGACCAACTGGCGGTGACGGTACCTTCCCCAGACTATCGCACTCGATCCATATGGGGGCAGTGTTCGTTACTACCTGGAGCAGCCCTTGCTCGGCAAATTCTACAATTCGGGTACGCAGGATTGAAGTTGCAGAAATCACCTCATACCATGCTGCTTTTAGTCGGGCAACGTCAACGTGGGCAGGAAGATGAATATGGCCCTGTGAAACGAACTCTCCAGGCCGTCGAGCAGAATGTACCAGCATCATACCCTGGATGGGAGAGCAAGGATATGCGTCTTCGATATCCCCAGGCTGGAGATGACAGATCTTCGCCAGAAGTTCCTTGTTGAGACCATTTCCAAGCAAGGAGAATGGCTCAACCTGCTTGGGTAGCATTGTGGGTGTTTCTGCTAATGGTCGGAGTGCTCGGTCTGCCATGTCTGCCAGACGAGGGGTGCGCAACACTTCGGCCACTGTCAATGAAAACCCTTCTTCCTGAGCAGCCGCCACAAGCCGCATCGCTGCCAAAGAGTCTCCACCCAAGGCTAGGAAGGAGGCCCGTCTGCTGATCAAGGACCTATCCACCGCTAATATAGACGCCCACAGACTTTGCAAGAGAACCTCGCCTGGTGAACCAGGTGGCTCATCGTGACTGACCCGCAGTAGACTAAAGCTATCTACCAGCTGAACAGTGGGGGTGCTCTGTGTGATGTGCCTTAATTCTTCCCGATCAACGAACCCAGATGCCAGCTTTGGTATTCTAGGAAGAGGAAGAAACTTAGAGGGTATCATGTGTGCAGGAAGTCTGTCATTAAGAAGCTGGATCACGTTGGCCAACATGGCGTTCAACCGAGAGGAATGTATCTCGGTCTGTATGGGAGAAACAAGCGCTACCAACTGTTTTGAGAGGCCAGGGAGCTCGATAATCTCGACTGCGGTGTCTAGTATATTGTCTGGTATACAGGCCTTGATAGATGATTCGATTTCAAGCATCTGGGCATTGTGGTCCTGCTCCTTAAACTTCCGGATCTCCTTCCGTTCCTCATCAGTCACAATATCCATTTCCCGTAACATCACGGGTTTTTCGGTGGCGGTAATGAGAGATAACACAACGTGCTCCATATCTTGAAGCATTTGTCGAACTATGTATTTCCCGAGCAGGTTTTCATCAAAGCTGGCACGAAGATGGAATCCATCGCTGGTCAGCTCGCAATCAACCATAATGGCATAGGTGTTGAACGCTTGGATATCGTCCTGCCCGTCTCCCAGATCAAATAAGGCTTTTTCTGTCCCTGAATATCGTGGTTGAGGCACTGGCTGGACGACAAGGAAGGCCTGGAAGTCACAGGCTTGCCGCATGTCATTGCCCAGTTGGCGAATGCGCTTAATGCCGTAATGCATGAATGGGATTATGTCTGCCGCATCTTCCTGCATGGTTTGGAGTAGGTCCAGTGAACTCTGGTCATCCCAGTCTATAACAACTCGCACAGGGACCGTTGCAATGGTAGGACCTACGACTCGTTCGATCCCGACCAAGGGTATCTGACGACCTAACAACGTGGTCCCAAACACCACTTCGCTGGAGCCAGAATATTTGGACAATACCATCCCCCAAGCGGTCTGGACAATGGTGTTCGCGGTGATACCACTAGCCCTTTTCCACTTAAGTCCGGAGACACTGTGCTCCTGCAATGCCGTAGCATAGGGTCGGTAGTCTGGAGCCGGAAGCGCGGGGAATGGCCGGAGGTGGACGTCTTTCAAATATCGCGACCAGAAACGTGAGGCTTCTATTGCATCCGAGGTGCTCAAGTACTGGATGAAGTTCCGATATGGGAGCAAACCATCATCTGGCACCTTGTGGTCTCCTAAGCCGTAATACTCACGCGCCAGGCTTCGGCCCAGGAGGTCCATAGACCATCCATCGTAAATAGCATGATGCATAGTCAAGACCGCCTTGAGCGGGGACAGCTGCTTTTCGTCTGACTTCGGTTCATCAACAACTGCAAAGCGCAGGAGTGCTTCGCCTAGCCCTGTTCCTCTTCCTCGTTCGTCTTGCAAGCACTGATTTAAGTCGGAGTATTGGGTCCATGGCACCTGACCACTCACGACGACTTGAGAAAAGGCATGATCATATTTGACTGCCGTATCACCCACGATGGTTTTCTTTGTATCTACGATGCGAGTTCGGATGATGGGAGCCGACATTGTCACAGTCTCCCAGGCACGCCGAAACCTATTTATATCAACCCCTTGGGGTAAGGAGAAGACGGTCTGTGTAACAAAGTCTTGCGGATTGCGGGCACCCAAGATGACCATCTCTTCCTGAATTGGCGAGCATGGAAAAATGTCTTCAATCTCGAAAGGCTCACACCCACATAGCTGGCAGATCTCGAGACGAACCCGGCCCATTATCTGGGGATCTTGAGCTGTACCCAACAAAAGGGAGAATGGACTAGCTGGAGATGGTGTCGCATTGGATGGCCGCGATTCACCCTTTTCCATCTCAACTGCTATATCACATAAGCGTGGATGTCGGAAAATATCTGCAACTTTGATGCTGCTGCATCCTTCGCTATGCAAGGCGCGGACAAGCCGCATTGCAGCGAGTGAATCCCCTCCACGGGCAAAGAAATTGTCGCCTGGGGCAAGAGCGGTATCTTTGTCCAGGTTCAGTACCTCCACCCATAGCCATCCCAGAATCATTTCTACTTTGGTCAAGGGCCGGTTTGTGTCTTTAACTGAGGCCTCCCCTGCTACCAGTTCTGGTAAGTTATGCACGCTGAGCAGCTGATCCGGTGCCCCTAGTGCCATCTGTCGAAGCACCCGACGATCCGTCTTCCCTGTCGCCGTCATCGGGATGCTAGAGACAGGGACATACGCGGAAGGGATCATGAATCGAGGCAACCGATCGGCCAATTGGTCATCCCACATCGGGATCCACTGAACCAACTGCTGTTTCTTCTCCTCTTGCAGGTGAATAAATGCCAGCAATTGCTTTTGGCCCGATGGCCATTCTACGGCTTCCACGACGGCGTTCATTCCCTCGGGGAGACATTGCCCAAGGTGATACTCCACCTCCCCGATCTCTACCCTTTGACCGTTGATTTTGATCTGCGTATCGGCGCGACCAATGAATGTTATGGATCCATCTACATTGTACCTCGCCAGATCTTGCGTGCGGAAGACGGGCCGGTCTGGGGCCAATGTGATGCCTGGCAAATACCCTCCATGGATCTGAACCAATGACTCTCGGGTCTTCTGCGCATCCCCGAGATATCCCTGACCAATGATCGGTCCATCAATCAGCAATTCCCCTATGGCGCCGATCGGAGCCAGACGATGGATATTGTTTACATCAGCGATCCACAGATTCGCGCCCAACCCGAAACCGACGCTCTCTGCGTCCTTAAGACACTTGATATTGCGGTTGCCCGCACACATAATGGTGCACTCAGAGGGGCCATAGACGTTGATGACGCGCACCCGTCCGGCTGTTGCCAACCAAGGTTCGAGCACGGTGCGGTTGATCTTCTCGCCCGTCAGAACCAACGTGCGCAGGTGTGGTAGATTTCCCGGATCTAGAAGCCGGGACGTGGAAGGGGTGAGCTGCGCAAATTCGACCTCCATCGCCTGTAGAACCGATTGCAGGTTATTCATGCGATCACTCTCCGATGGCACGCACAAACATCCCCCAGTCAGGAGAGTATGGAAGGTGTTGCAAACGTATGCGTCGAAGCTGTATGATGAGGAGTCGAATGTGCGAACTCCCGTGTTAAACCCGAGTGCACGCGCTTGGTGTCCGACTGCCGTACAGAGATTGGCATGCGATATAATGACGCCTTTGGGAGTGCCCGTGCTCCCTGACGTGAAGACAATGTACAGGTGGTCGGATGGAGCAATGGGTGTTTTGTGAAGGGAAGAAGGAATTTCGTGTCTTGATCGAAGAAGCTCATCATCCACAATGACAGCATTATCAGCTAAGGATTGAGCCAGACGAACGGTGTCATGCCTAGCCAGTATCGTGGGTGATTGAATTTGTTCCATTATACTCTTCAAGCGACCCAGCGGCTGATAAGGATCCAGCATGATGAAAGTACTGCCTGCCTTTGCGATGGCCAAGAGGGTGATTGTCGTCCACAAGGTCTTATCGAAGCAAATGGGTACAATGTGCCCCGGGCCTGCAATTTTACTTTCACATAGCCATCCGGCCAGTCGGGTTGACCTTTCATCCAGTTCAGCGTAGGTAAGACACCCATCCCATGCGTGCACGGCGGGATGATCTCCTCGCCTCTGAACTTGATACGCAAAGAGATCGGTGACACAGGTGTTAGCCATCCTTGGTATATTTCCGTTCCACTTCCAAATTAGTGCTTTATCTTCATCACACAAGATATCCAGATCCCCCACCACCCGTTTCTGCCGGCTTAGAGCGGGGTTACACAGTTGGCGGATGAGGTGTGTGAGCTGAAGCACCATGCGTTCGGTCTGATAGGTATCTAGTACCGCCTCATCGATGTGAAACCGTAGTAATAACGTCCGGCGATGGGTAGATGGGAAGAACTCGACGATGAGAGCGAGAAAATCCGTATGAAGGGCTCGTTCAATGGAGAATGGATGGGTGCCCTAGCCATCATTGTGTGTGAGCGTCCACCTGAGTCAAAAGCGATATTGGTCAATTATCGGCAGAAAACCATATCCAGCATACCTCATACACTTCTGGTTCTGTATCTCTCACTATAAGTGATGTCCGAAATTCACAGGCTTCCCTGGTCTGTTGACTGCAAGCCCGAATTTGGTCTAGTGTTCTGGGTGTATCAGTTTCTTGCATGGCCGCTATTCGGTCTTGATTGGCCTGCAACCAGTCATCGAGGTCACATTCCCAGTTGACTGGCACTCGTAGTGGAAGAGCGTCTTGTCCTTGCTGAACATCCTCGGAGCAACTCAAATCATTCCGCAAGCCATCTACCCTCGTACCAAAGACCACATCTGAGGTGTTGGCGTACTGAGCCAAGAGCAACGCCCAGGCGGCATATACCGTGGTGGACAATGTGTACGGCTGGTCATGGTTGGTGCCAAAGTCGATCTGGTCAATCTCGTGGTCAATCACAGTCCCAATGCAAGGCTTATACCCCACGACAGGGAAGACAGGGTAGGGAGAAGTTTGGAGGTCGGCAAACGTCTGCTGCCAGAAATTCTCAGCCATCTCGAGTTCTCAATTGAATTGATGACACGCTTTGTTCGTTTGACACATCTAATGCATTTTCACGCTCGACTGGAATGGCCAGGAGTCCCTTTATGCCAAAGTACCAAGCCTCATCCATCCCTCTGTGATTAAGAAGTACTAGCCCGAAGCAACGTTGGAGGAGGCCAGATATCGTGGTATTGCAAATTGAACAATACCGGTCATGGTTTGCAATTTACTACTTAGTACACCGAAGTAGTACACATAGTACTATTACTAGTACTAGTATACACAGAGACCGACGGTAGGCGTGTCAGATGACCGGCATCAGCCTCCGGTTCGGTCTCCCGCCGGCCTTCCGTCTTCTCTGCTTCCTTACCAGCCAGAATGTCACCACGGGGTGTCATTATTTTCCGCCCCCGACAATTGTTTAATTAAACAAGCAAACAGGGAAAGCTGGATAGTTCCATTTGCAATCCCCTGTATCTTCATACCAATTTTTGGGGTCCCAGGCACAAACTACGCCCTCCTTTCGCGCCACCTGTCCCACAAGGCCGCCCCCCCAAGAATATCCTCCATCCTATGCAGACTGGTAGAGCTATCGAGGAGCCTACGGAGGAGGAGCCACTCCTAGGACATGTTCATGATGTCTCCTCACCTAAGCATTTTCTCTCGGGCTATCAACGCCTTCTCCTCCTCGTGGGCATATCGATTGTCGCTGCCGACTTTGGAAATGCTCTGACCGTCGCCCCTCAAATCGCGATATTCGAGTCCCTTATCTGTTACCAGCCTGGGGGAGGCGGTGATTGCAAATCTCCCGAGGTGCAAGGGGAGCTGGCCCTACTGATCGGCTGGAAGGATACTATTGATCAGCTACCTGGCATCATTCTGGCGCTGCCGTACGGCCTCGCAGCTGATCGCTTTGGCCGCAAGCCCATTTTACTTCTCTGCTTGGCTGGCCTCGTGCTGGAGGAGGTCGCTATCCGCTTGGTATGCTGGTGGAACGCTGTTATCCCGTTAAGGATGATATGGGTAACACCCATCTTCCAGATCATTGGCGGTGGTTCACAGACAGCAACAGCCATGGCCTACGCTATGATAACTGATGTAGTCCCTTTGGAGAAACGGTAGGGCGACAATGACCGCCGTTCCCTATTGACTTTATCGTTGCCACGTTCTAGTTGACTAATACACACACCCCGCAATTTCGCAATAATTAGGGCATCGATCTTCTACATCATGGCCGCTGTGGTCTTACTCGGCGAAATTCTCGCCACTCCCATCAGTGCGTTCCTTATGATGTCCAGTCCATGGGTACCGACCCTGTTAGGTGTCGTAGTCCAGCTAGGGGGGTTGCTGGCGGCTGCGTTTGTGTCCGAGACACGTCCTGATAAATGTCCCAAACCTGACCAGCCGACGAATACTCATGAGCGACAGGAAGGATTGCAGTGGGCTGGTGGTGGCGGCGACGGTACAGGGCAAGACTGCCCCCGGTCCATGTATCAATATTGGAAACACACCGTCAGTGAATACTGGAAACATCTCCAGGGCGCTGGTGGGAACGGCTGGGACCTCAACATGGCCTACATTGTGGGTACATTTCTGCTAGCCAGCATAGGTAAACAGGCGCTACAGTTAATTATCCCATACGCGTCAAACCGCTTCATGTGGAGTATTCCGCGAGCCAGCTTCCTCGTCACGTTCAAGGGTGTCATCAACCTGATTACTCTCCTGCTGATCCTCCCTTGGCTGTCAGCAAAGCTGAGTCGACAGATGTCGTGGTCTCCGGCAGTCAAGGACCTCCGGGTTGTTCAAGGGAGTTCCTCGATCCTCACTCTTGGGGCCTTGCTCATGGCCCTGGCCGCCCAGCCCAGTATATTTGTCGCCGGGGTGTGTCTCTTTGGATTTGGGTGGGGATTTTACTCGGCGCTACGGAGTCTAGCGACAGCACTGGTCTCACCGTCTCAGGTAGGAGTACTCAACTCCGGGATCGGTCTGGCACAAGGTATCGGATCGCTAGTCGCAGGACCCATTCTGGCGGCTGCGTTTCGGCAAGGCCTGCGACAGGAAGGGTTCGGAAAAGGTCTGCCTTACCTGGTGGCCGGAGCATTGTTCTTCTCGGCTAGTGCTTTCACCTGTTTGATTCGTATCACAAGAGAGGAGAAACCCAGCCCGTGATGGAGGACATTGGGTTCGACTTGAAATGCTCCTGACCATGTGTGCAACCCAGTTTGATGGATATTAGGAAGCTTTCCTCCATATACGCTGTTATTATAGTAGATTAGATTAATCTCTTTATTAAAAGCCTACAGCTATATTAAAAATGCTATACCTAGTACCGTTTGAACTCTCTTGATTGACGCACTTTTTCAACAACTTGTGAGGGAAAAATGTCTTGAGTAGAGATATACGGATTTCTATACAGACAGATAGATACGACATAGAAATGTTGCTTTAGAACTTGGTTAGATTAAAAACAGCACAATGTCTTTCTTTCTTTATTTTTCCTTTGTGTTGTTAGAGCAAAAGCGTTCTGGCCACCCCACAGACGAAGGTTGGCCCGGGGGTAATTAATTGCCAGCGAAACGCAATGCGGGAGTTACATAGCATAACCCGATTTGTAGCTAAATGCTAAGCAACTGTGAAATTGATAACATTCAATAGAAACGGCTATGAAATCTTTTGTATGATAACAACAAATATAACCCATATATTCCTAGATCTGATCAAAATAACGATACTCAGCATTGCCCTCTTAGTTTACCTGAGATTCGAGTCCCACTGTCTCAGACGCGCCCCATACTTCATCAACAGAAATGGAACAGGCATGAGTCCCAACGCAATAAAAGCCAGTAGGCTGTTCCCCCATCCCATCCCAAGCGCATCATACATCCTCTGGCCTCCCAACGGCAGTAGAGCGCCCACCAGGCTTCGCAGCACGGCCGTCGCCGCCATAGCAGAGGCAGCATGTTTCCCAAACGCGTTGACCACGTAGATTTGCACCGGCTGGAAGATACCCATCATGCCAAAGCCGAACACGCCTAGCCCTACCAGCGGTACGACGACGAATGCGTTGCTTTGCAAAGACCAGCCGTACCAGAATAGCCCAGCGGGGACTAGCATGCCCGCTGGAAGCATGGGCCAGAGCCAGCCTTCGGGCGGAAGGGGTTCATCTGGATCGGATGCCTTTTTCTTCCTATGCTCGGTGACTTTGTCGGATGCGTGGCCGATTATGAAGATGCCTGGTTTCTTTTAGTGACGGGGGACTTAAGGAGTTGATGGGAGTCATGATACCTAGAATCGTTCCAATGCCATTGCCTAGGTAGACTAGTCCGGAGAGACCAGTTGACAGGTGGTACTGGTCCTGGAAAATGTATGATAGTGTGGTGAAGACAAGGTACTGGTAGCCGTAGACTATGGCCACGTCAATTGCGAGTAGCATCACAATGGGCGACGTCAATAGGATTCTGAGTGGCCGCACGAGGGTTCCGATGACAACTTCCTGCTGGGAGAGTTGCTGTTGGTCCAGTCGTGACCTCAGCTCCAGGTTACCGGTCTCCTTGCGCAGACGTTTCGCTTTGTGTGCGAGCAGCACCGGGGCGTAGGTCTCCTGGAGAACAAACAGTGACATTATCGTGAGGATTCCCATCTATTATCAACGAAGTATTCTCATTAGTCTCAGTCAAGTTGGTACTGGAGAGCCCACCACACCACCCTATTCTCGATAACTTTCACCGCGCAGGATAATGGAAGAACATACCGGTATCGCAATCACCCAAAAGATCCATCTCCACCCTATGTCTTCACTAAGGTAGCCGCCTGCGATGGGAGAGAAAACCTACATCTCTCGCAAACGATCATATGGTCAGTCTTGTCAGGGAGCGTCTCACCAAAGGAAATTCGTGGAAGATCCCCTACCGGTGGCACCAATGACCCCAAACCCCAGACTGCCATCGCAGTGCCCATTCTCTCCGGTTCCATAATATCGCTGATGGAACCTCCTCCAAGAGCCAAGGGCGCGGCTCCAGCACAGCCGCAGAGCAACCGAAAGGCAAGGAACATGCCCACATTGGTGCTGAGGGCGCATCCGATGGTCGCCCCAAGGAACACCACGTTTGACACGTGGTAAACGATCGCGCGGCCGAACAGCTCGGACAGCGGCGCCACCACCAGTGGGCCGACGACAAACCCAATGACATATATAGATACGACAAAGGATTGCAGCTCAGCATTGTCGGAGTGAAGTGATTTCATCACATCTGGCACTGCAGGAGCCAGCATCGACGAGCCCATCGATCTGTAGACCAGCAACCAAGAGCGAGGAAAATCATTAGTGCGGAGGTTAGACAAGACGGGGAAGAGAGGAATACTCAGAGTTAAGCACTTACGTGACAAAGGTCAATAGTGAAACGACAACAATGTGACACCATCGGCGCACAGCGCTCCAGTTTTTGGGATTGGATGGATCTTGGCCGCCATCCCAAAACACATCGTTTGGATTTCGCACTTCACCCCCCTCAGCCGGCGAGGATATCGCCTCCTCAGCAGTCTTGGTGGGGGCCATGTTTTCCGTCTGGGAGAGATCTCTCGACTCCTGAGAGATGCATCAATACTAGTAGTCTATGGTTATCACTACTGAATGGGTGATGGCAAGATGAGGTTACATTTTCACCTCCGTTCTTCAAGTTATCAGACCTTGATTAATGGTATAATTTAGATTATGATACTGCGAATTGAAAACTTTCAGTCCGGTAATTACGGGTCTAGTTGTAAATTATAGAAGTAAACAATACTATAGCAATATAGCCAAGATGCTAATGAGCTACTAAGATAAGGTTCGGACCAATATCGACACAGTTCTAAGTATAGATCCAACCACTAACCAGAGAGCAATTAGTAGTAATTCATACTATAACGAAGATTTCGGTCTCTAGAATCACGAAGGAAGTAGTCTCGCATGGGAATCCCGACCAATGTAGTATCAATGTATGTAATTAGTAGTGTGAGAATGCAGTACTACCACATATGTTGTTCAGAATTGGCAGGAGGCGGGGTACTTACATACTTTAATTACTTTAATAATTCGGGGCGAGTTTACCGTCCGACGTCTTGGTCAAAAGTACCTACTAAGACAAACACGACATTTATCGGTAGCGAACATGCAACCGTTCACCTGGAGTCAATGCTCTTTCCACCATTCTCTTACGCAAACTGAGCCGCCGGACAACCCCCATCGGACGATTATTGAAACGACTAGCTGGATTAGCGCGCGCCTCTCATACTAGGTAATCTACAGTTCGCCCCATGGTAACATCCAGAGTCAGACGGAATGCTATCCTTGCTCTTCATTCTCCTGGTCATGATGAATGCTAACGCCATGGCGTAAAATAGGTCTGGTACTTTGGTCTTACACAGAAGAACTCTTGGGATCATGCAAGTGTGAATCATTAGGTTTAGAATAAGTCAATTCATCACTTGTTGAGCATTACATTACATACCTGCAGCTTCGCCGCTCCTAACGCTACATTATTCTCCTGTCTTTGTGGGGAAGTTTCAGACCAGAACAACCAAGCATGCTTGACGACACACAGATATCGGAACTATTACTCTTCTCCTTCAAGACAACTTTGGGGCCTCGAATTTGAGGACAAGAACAAGCCGGTTGCCTTCAGTCTGGTTCTTCCTCAGAATTAGCAGGTTAATATAAACCAAACTTTCTAGCGCTGGACTAAGGACTATATTCCGGAGCAGTAATACTACGTGATCCTCATGAAGGTGCATCTTAGTTTGCCCTATTGCCCAATTCCTTGAAGATAAGAGGCTAGAGCTTGACTAAGATACTTTTGCTGTCTGATCCTGAGTAACACTACTGCGCTAAATTGGATTGAGGCATCCTTCATGATGCTACTGCAATTATCATACAATCAATGACACTATAATTAATTCATGTTATTAGCTCCTTTTCTATCCGCTTTACTATCGGCCCTAGTACCCTCCTGGACGCTCAGGTATGGTGAGAAGTGGCTGGTCTCTCGCCATCCTTCGCCCTCGCCCGCGCCACTCCCACTTCTACCAAATTCTTCCGTGCAAAGCAACACAACCATTACAAAACGGGCTTTTTTTGTTTTGTTTCTGGCAGACATTCTCATAGTCTAGATTGGCTCTATCACTTCAACTCTCTGACCGGATTTCCGACGGTATTGCTGTGGATACCCTCATCTTCGAATTCACCTCCATCGGAGTTATTCGTATTCTGGTTATGAAAGACTTCACCAAGCTGTCAAAGTCGCAGTCGAGCACTGTACATGAAGGGACATGGCATATAAAGAGGCTATATGGTCGCCGAGAAAAGTCAGTCAGGACATCTCTCATCTCTAGATTGTCTAACCTACGTCTTCTCCTCAGACCTTATATCGCACGTTTCCATCATTCATCATGGGCAGCACACTTCCTGAGCGGGTGTATGACGTCCACAATCAATGGCCGACCCCTCATGCACACCAGGCTCTACAGTCATGGGCTAGACTCAACTCTTATACCAAAGCCGGTACTATTCAAATAGACGGCAAAACGCTCGATGTGGCTGCCATTGTCGCTATCGCAAGGTCAGTTCTTGACCCCGCCTGTTCCTGATATTCATCCGTCATGCTTACATATAGTATCGCTACCTCTAGAAACGGTGTACGCGTAGCTGTCACAGAGGACACCAGTATCACTCAGAGAATTGAAGACAGTGTTGAGACTCTACAAGACTACCTGTCGAAAGGGTACTACCTCTATGGTTCGTAATCACTGGCACTTTTACTTGTGCTTTGAAGATGCATGTGTGCTGATCCGGGGAACATAGGCGTTAATACTGGGTTCGGGGGCAGCGCCGATACACGCACCACGGACTTGTATGGGCTACAGCGTGCGTTGATGCAGCACACCCAGAGTGCCGTATTGACCGAGGAAGACAAAGTTGGTTCCAGCAAACATGAATACCTGGAATCACACAGTATGCCGAGTGCCTGGACGAGAGCTATGACTGTAATTCGGTGCAATGCCAATATCCGTGGTCATTCGGCGATGACTCGCAATGTTGTTGATACTATGATCAAGCTGCTGGACCATGACATTGTGCCAATTGTCCCCCTGCGCGGCTCGATCTCGGCTTCTGGTGATCTGATGCCTCTATCTTATCTTTCTGGAGCCATCCAGGGGAATCCAGATGTTTATGTACGCGTCGGGGGCTTAAAGGGTAATGCCCCTCGCGTTCTATCCGCGTTTCAAGCGCTCAAGGAAGCCTCGATTGAGCCTATCATCCTCGGTCCGAAAGAAGGTCTATCACTGATTAATGGAACTGCCGCTGCCGCTGCAGTAGCTAGTTTGGCTTGCTATGAAGCAAATCAGCTTGCTTTGGTCTCTCAGCTACTGACTGCACTGATGTCCGAGGTTCTATATGCTAACAATGAATGGGCCCACCCGTTTATTGCTGCTGTGCGCCCCCATCAGGGCCAGATCGAGGCTGCGCAGAATATCCGAACCTTCCTGTATGGCTCACAGCTTTCGTATGGACTAGAGCAGACAAAGGATCGTTTCAGTTCTGGACTAGCCCAGGAGCGCTATGCATTGCGCAGCTCTCCTCAATGGTTGTCGCCGCAGCTAGAGGATCTTCTCACCGCTGAAAAACAGCTAGAAGTCGAATTGAATTCGACTTCCGATAATCCGGTTGTCAATACTCTAGATGACGATATTCACTGCGGCGCGAACTTCCAGGCTGCTGCTGTTACATCCGCCACTGAGAAGATCCGTCTTGCTTTACAATCTATTGGCAAGATATTGTTTAGTCAAACTACCGAAGCAATCAATCACGGCCTGAACAATGGTCTTCCGCCTAATCTTGCCGCCGATGATCCTAGTCTATCCTTCTGTCTCAAGGGTATCGACGTCAATACCGCCGCCTATACATCCGAGCTAGGATTCCTGGCAAATCCCGTCAGCAACCACGTCCAGTCTGCTGAGATGCACAACCAGGCTGTCAACTCGCTTGGCCTTCTCTCTGCACGCCAGACCATGGCAGCCGTTGAAGTCCTCTCCCTGATTGTGGCCAATGCACTCTACACAGCCTGCCAAGGTGTAGATCTGCGAGCTCTCCATCGCACCTTCATCGCTAGCCTAAAAGCCCCCGCCCGCAAGCTCATCATCACCGGGCTATTCGTCGATACACAGGACCCAGTCAGCAAGGACCGTTTCTTCACCACCTTCTGGAAAGAATTCGAAGAGGCCTGGTACGCAGCCGCAGCATATGATGCAGCTGAGCGCGCCGCAAAGGCCGCACAATCGCTAGCTGTCGCTGTAGTCAACTCGCAACACATTGCTATTATTCTGCCTGTTGAGAAGGTCACTGGCTTGACCAAAGCCTTTGAGTCCCTCATTCTACAGTCATATCTGCAGCACCGCGATGCATTTTTCAAACAGCCCTCCACCGCCCAGTATCTGGGACAGGGAACCCGAATGATCTACCGCTTTGTGCGGGAGAAGTTAGGTGTACCGCTCCACCGCGGCCTCGTCGAGCATCCCGTGGCTGGGGACCAGGAAGGGAACGTTATCGATGGTCGTCCGAAGAAGACCATCGGATCCTGGGTCTCGATCATTTATGAGGCAGTTCGCGATGGGTCCCTGTATGCTGAGGTGTTTCAGTTTCTGGACGCGAGTGGAGGCATTGCCAACGGAGTGAAGGTCGCCAATGGAACGAAGGTCTCCAACGGGACAAACGGGAGTGTGACTTATTGAACTAGCATTAGTGTCTTGGTAATCAAGCTATGACAAGCTTATAGTAGTTCTTATTCTTCGTAAAGTATAGCGAAGTTAATAGCTATTAGCCTAGTAGGCTATAACAGAAGAATATACCGTTATCGCAAATGGCAATCACCCCAAAGGGCAACATATTAACTTCCTCTCATTCCAAGGGGTCTCATGGGTATTCCAGTATTGATCTTGAGTTCGTATTCTGGCGAGGGTGAGTTAGGGTTTAACCAACTCTGGTGTAGATTGCGTCACGGAACTGGCCGCATATCCCGAGACTCTGTGTGCATTATAATCTATGAACCATGACCACGTCTAGAACATGGAGTCAAATAGATGATCTCTGTCTCCCGATATTAAGCCACGGTTATAGCTATGTTTCGCCACCTCCAGGCAACCTTTTCTTGATCTGCTAAGCGTTCTCACGAATGGGCTAGAATCAGTCAAACAATGAATTGAGTTTCACGGTATCTAGTGGGCCAGAGCCAAGATCATGAGACTCATCAGTGTGAACACTTTTCGTATCAAGACCCTGATTCTCATGGCTGTTAGTGGCGTCGTACCATTACCCCAATGTCGTGAATCCGTGATTGAGAGGCGGATAAGCAAAGCGAAGCTTTTCTCTCCCGGGTCTGGGCCATTCGGTACGAACTCTTGGTCTTTACAGCGGGAACCATATCCGATTGCAGTAGATGGTTCGTATGCATAGGATGTCAGTCAGGATATAAAATCCATCATTTTGTTCCATGACACATTAACATGGTATTGCTTTGTCTTGAACTGACCGGGAAAACATATGGATATCTTTGAAATTGATATATTTGAAATTATCTGCCCGCCTTCAAACCCCTACGTCCTTTAAATTTCAGTATCAGGATGATATTGTTCTACAAGTGTCTTATCTTGCAAGTCTCTCTGGCAACATGGGTTCTCGGCTCTCCAAATGTGGTTAAGATGGGCTTTTCACGGGGCACCCAAAGACAAAGTGCTTCGAACAATGGCTCATTTGGGGTCCAACTAGGGAACTATATACCGGCGGGCCTGTATTACGTCAATGCTTCCATCGGCACCCCAGCGCAAGTTGTCCAGTTGCAGTTAGATACTGGTAGCAGTGATGTCTGGGCTTTTGGGGTGCATTCCTGTGACCTCAGGACTTCTTACTGTCTGGGCGGTGCATGTAAGTTTCGAACTTGACTTATATTTATAACTGCGCGCGATCACTTCCTTTTGCTTGGAAGCCGCTAACATCCAGTCTCTTCCAGATAATCCAAATCAGTCAAGCACTGCGACTGTAATAGCCGAAGGAGCCTTCCAGATATCTTATGTTACCCAAGGTTCAGGAGTGGAAGGTAACTGGGTTAAGGATGACTTTTCTGTTGGTAACATAACAATTAAAGGCCTTGATCTGGGAGTAGCAACCCATGCGGAAAGTGAAAATACGGGCATCATGGGCATTGGGTTTCGATCGCATGAATCAAACAATACACTATACCCCAACTTCGTGGACCAAATGGTGGCACAGGGTTTTACGAAGAGTCGTTCATACAGCCTGTGGCTCGATGATCTCTGTATGACCTCAGAGTCACCATATACGGTTATAAGCCTGCTAACTAGGAGCTAGATATGAGCACCGGGAGTGTGCTTTTTGGTGGATACGACTCTGACAAATTCCACAATGAACTAGTAGCATTGCCAATGGAGCCGAACGCGACTGGGGTTTTCACTGATTTCGCCGTGACATGGACCTCCTTCTCATTCACGAATGCCAGCGGCACAGAAACCAGTCTTTCCGGCCAGGACTTCAAGGAATATACCATTCTAGACTCAGGCTCTACCGGGGTTCTGATTCCGGATCAGATATATCAGCAGATAGCCCAGGCATTCCGTGTTCTGGATAATGGGCGTGTCGACTGTGCGCTGAAGTCCGCGAATGGGACATTCAACTTCGGCTTCGGGGGTCCTACCGGGGTGGTTATCGCTGTTCCTATATATGAGTTCATTATACCTGGGATTTTCCCCAATGGGACACGGATGACAGATTCGAGAGGCATAGATGTTTGTTGGTTTGGCATGGAAGCACAAAAGGACAGGCCGCTGCTGCTTGGCGACACCATGCTACGCTCGGCATATGTTGTCTACAATCTAGATGACAAGTGGATTGCCATGGCGCCTACTAATTTCAACAGCACAACCTCCAACATCACGGAAATCAAGCCCAGCAGTAGCCTGCCTGCTGGCTGGAAGTCTGCACCTAATATTACCGTGAGCCAGACTGCCACTGGATCGATTTCGACGGGAGCGTCCACCCCAGTCAGCGTAAGCGGAACCCTAAGTTCGGGGGTAACAACCGTTGCCACTGCATCACTCACCGGGGCGACCGGCTTTACGACGGCTATGTGAGATTGAATGCTTCTACGGTCTTAACCACATTGAACTTCATCATGTGTTATAAAAGGTGTGACAGTCTCAAAAGGTTGAAGTGTGTATCAGTGTTCTGGGCTTCGAGGTATAGTTAATGTTACTCAGTATAGCATTTTATTATGACCCGCGTTCTACAATTCACCCTTCACATACAGTCGTTATTGCGTACTTTCTACTAAAAATTCTAAATCTGTGACACAGTCTAGATAGTGAAAAATGAAGAAGTAGGAAATATACTTGCACCGCGACGAACCCCGGTTCGATCTATAGTTTTGATCAAATCTCCGCGGAAAGTTAACCTTGGCAGGGACCATGAGTTGCTTGAGCCACGCTTCCAAGGGATCCATTTCTCGGCCTGTCTAGAGTGGGCCAGATCATCACGAAGAATCAAGGTGCCATGTCTCTTGGAAAGTAGCAAGACATGGTTGGTCATACGATACCTACGATATCATACTATATATATGTATAGAACAGAACAAGGTTCAACCCGGAGACTGATTACTCCATGACACGTTCAAGGATAGTCATCACCCCAATAGATAAATTCAATGCCCCCTTTATTGCTTGTTTCAAGTGGAGCCCGTCGGGACAAGAATGCTTGTTCATGGTATAGTTAGAAGAGAGACTGGCCTGGTGAAGGATTGAGTGCATACAAGCCAGGAACCATGGTAGACACTAGCTAAGAAAAAGCGAATGAAACCAATCCTAATGAACCTGTTCGCCTGAGGTGTAGGTGGCATGACACCACTGGAATTATACGGTATTAGATTGCAAAATACCACAGGCTATCCTATCTTTAATCCAAACTCAGATGCTCTAGGGATCCAGGCCTCAGTTCACTAACAGTAGCCACCACCACAAATATCCGGCTTTTTTATTTAAACCACGGACTAAACTATCTAGACCTATCTGAATTTATCTCTCTAATACGACCTTATAACTTTCGCTTTGGATAATAGGTTTACTATACCAAAGAGGTTCTAGTTTTCCATATATCCCTATCCTACCTTTCTACCTGAAGCTCTCTGAGCTTTACACAGAGTACCCAAAATGCTCCTATTCAGTTTAGCAGCCTTCACATCCCTACTAGGCCTAGCAGCAGGCCTCGACCTCCGCGGGAAACCCGTTCAACAGGGTCATCGGGGCCTGTATACGTGCGTACAATATGAATGCAGCCAGTATGCCTGTGCACCAACCGGACAGGAACTAAAATGCGTCAATGCAATGAAACAGGGATATGGTACGCTCAGAAATCAATCATTTAGATATCTAGCCAGGTTAAACAGCGAGGAAATATAGCTAACTCATTGTAGATATGAAGTATAAAGGAAAGCTCATGCACTGTGACCCGGTTGGTCGCGGTTTTCCATATCGGTCATGTGTTTGTACTATCGATTTTTTGAATTGTGACAAGTGACTGGGGGTAGACATGGAGTCGTGGGAAAAGGGACCTGTGCTTCTTTAGTCGTAGGGCCGGTCTTCTTTTTCGGTGTTTTGGGTTATGTGGAGTTATATTAGGTATAAGCGAAGGGCTACCTTGGATCTCGAGTCAAATTGTTTGTTACTTAGCCATTAATCCTCAGTTGGGCTGCTTATCTTCTTTTTACGTCTTCCTCCTAGAAACTACTAGTTATTCCATTCTATATTATATTGGAAACATGCTATTCTGGACCCCTCATGAAACCGGATCTTGATTTCACTCTGTAAACAAGGATACTTCTCATCAAGCTCTCTCTCTCCCCACTGATTTTCATATACACTCAACTACCTATCTAGACTGCAATTCCTACTTCACCGAAGTAAACATCTTCGCCGATCCACTATCCACATTCGAAGCAAAGACAGCATCCAAAAACGCATGTATCCTGACCACATCCTCAAAAGTCGGCACAAACCCCCCCATCAGCAAACCTCTCATACACCACCCCCACATTCTACACGAGCAATGGAAGCGCCAGTTTCTCATGCAAGGGGACCATCTCAATCTTCCCAGTCTCATAGTCCTTGATCTGGATCTTGTAGTTCTCCGCGCCCATATTGAACTTGATCATGGCCCTTCCCGTTACGCGGATCTCACCCTTCTCGCCGATGATGTCCCACACGAGACCATCACCTTCCTGAAAAGCGTGCGTCGCCACCACGGAGAACGTAAGTGTACCTGACATCCTGTTCAAGACACCGTGGAGAGACCTCGTAGTCGTCCGCCGTTGAGGAGTCATGGTGCTCGTCCTGAGAATATTCTGTCGGTGGTATCTGGAGGTATGGTGTGGAAAGTCCATTTATAAGTTTGGTAATGGGTCTCTACGTAACTACGTCATGATCAAGAGTAGTAGTTGGCTAAGAGAACAATTACTCATTCTCTGGCCGGAATGTAGATTCCAGCGAGCGGTTGACAAAGAGCAGAGAGGATTCATTTTGATAGAACAACTCCTCCATAAGCTTTACTGGCAGCGGTGGGCCTGTTCATCTGGATGTGGGTCGTGGATGGAATTCAAATTCTTTTCAAATGGCACATTGTTCATACCCTTTTTTTTACTGTAGGAGAGAAATGAGTGGAAAACTGCTATGATTAATTACCACACTGCAGAATGATCAAGGAAGCCTTGGTTTTCTACGCATTTCAAATACCCTAATGAGCGATCAAGACTGCGATTCCCATGCAAGGCGTAATCATACTTTGCTACGCTGAATGCAGAATACACCCAATTCCCGCGACGTCTGAGTGATAAATCTCGAATCAATAGTGATCTTCGTTTCGAGATAGATACTGACATACCCTGTACCAGCCATCATACTTCCTAGTTTTGTTTATTGCCCCCATGAGCCTCTGCGAACCATACAAAAACTGAAGAACGTCAAGATCAGTAGCCAACACCAGAGGGTATCATCTTCTCAAGCCTCCGAATCTCCGATAGCCTTTCATAATTTGTTGATGATACCTATCCACTGATTCATAGATATCTGCTTAGCATATTGTGGGCGCTGTGAGATCATAGAGCCCTGACATGAGAGGATGAGGGACTTGAATCGGAAAGGTTACTTATAGTCGAATATGCCCGATCCACACGAAGCCTCCAGCGGTCAACGGATGGGTCTCGTTCGAAGTAACTGCGGCGTCCACCAAGGCTGGGTTCGCAATAACAACTCTCCACATCTTCAAAGTCTGCGAAACCTGCCGAGTCTCGCGAAGAGCTGTCAGAGACGTAGAAATGGAGATTAACGATGACGTTGCCGATCAGGGAACTTATTTGCTTCGCAGCTGTACTTTCCTGCAGGGTGTGGGTGGTTTCACTACGTCCCTCAATTCTTTCGGCGTACTTCTGCGCGATGTCTGTGACTTGCCCTCGAAGTTGCTCAAGGCCTCGGGCATCTTTGCGGAACCATTCATTTGCTTCGTCAAGTCTTTTCTGAGTCACCAGGGGATCATTTCTGTAAGGTAAAGGCCATGCGGTTGGACTATGCACTACTGGCTCAGAGAGTCCTGGCGGAGGTCTTATGCGTTTGCTGGTTATTAAATTTAGGTATCCGGGGACACCCGCCGCGGGAATTCCTTTCCATCTTTCAGTAAAATCGTACCAGATAGGACCCGATGTCCACGGATTTTCGGTAATTTCTGGCGGGTAAGCTGCTCTGATATCTATATTCCCCGAATTGGTTGACTTTGTGGTTGTTGACTCGCCACTTAGACCAGAGACACGATCCGATGAGCTATCCAGAGTTGTTGTAGTCCCCTGGGCGTGTGCGTCGTAGGCTTCCATTTGGGCGACCGATAATATATCCTGATCCGTAGTAATCCGCTCATATACAGCTCTGGTAAGCAATGCAAGTTTTTCTTCTTTAGTGTAGCCTTTGTCATCCTGATAAGAGCTTTCATGGTCAGGACCTGGGGCCTCAGCGCAAGGCATTTGCGGAGCATCTACATCATTCAAGGACTGAGAACGGGACAAAAACGACGTCGGTGGTTGGCACTCCATCGCAGGTGTACTTGGCTTAGGGCTCAATACATGCTCATGTGGAGCATCCAGAGAGAGGTCCCATGAGGTAGAGGAAAAATCTCTCGATCGATCTTCATGTGATGCCGAGAGCGATGGGTGCAGAGTTACCAAGCTCTCATGAGCGAGGGCATGATCATAGTGAAAAGGTACTGATTCGTAAGGAGAGCGGTCCTCCGGCTGGTCAAAACTGGCGCTGTAGATATTCAGGGAGGAGTCCGTCATGATGCTGCCATCAGCTACGAAGTCCTGGTTGTAAAGGGTTGGCTGCGATACGCCCATGAAAGACAGCTCATTGGAGATCGAATGTAGTCCTGTCGACCAGGGAAGGTGCTCCGAGCTGTGGTAGTCATCATTTCTCAGGAATGGGCTCTCCGATACGCAGCTATGTGGTTGTGAATGTGAGTAGGAATATGCGAAGCCGTAGTTGTGGGAATAATTAAGAGGGTTCTCTTGGTAGTGAATTGCGTTGGCATTCGTCGGCCATGCCTCTTCCCCTCGCTGTGCTTCTGGACTGTAATGGTACGATTGCGAATGAAACCGAGAGGATGCTGGGACCCCTTCACTGTGCCTGTTCGGATTACACTCTCCACTATACGCACGATGGAGGGCGGACAATCGAGAGCGAGGCTCGCTTTGGCCCGTCTCGAAGGGATTCATTGGGCTTTGACTGTTCTTCCTACCGGTGTCTTCGGTGCTTTCTAATTGCAAAGGCTTCCAGGACTTGTTGCCTTTGTTTCGGGGGTGCGCCTTGGCAAATTTGGTCAAGCAGATGGCTTGTGACGACGGCAGGTCATCAAAATCACGCAATTCATAAACGTCATCCTGGTACATAGGCGCCTGTGTGTTTCCGGACCGGAAGGCCTGGCTGTGAGGCCTACCAAAGGATCGTCTAAAGGCCATTCTGGATGCAACGTAATTATCTTCGACCAGTAGAGGAGGGGTAAGATTTGTGGGGAGAGACCGTGCTGTTTCTGCGCGAGGGCCAGGCCGCGTGATCAAGTGTAGTGAGGATTGAGATAGACTATTTGGAAGCGGAGTTTGCGGAAGGGAAGATGAGGAGCACCTGGTTTGGGTGTTTCTGGAGACTGGTTGAAGGGGGAAGGTGTCGTCTGTTTTGAAGGGTATGAGCTGAGGTGCTGGTGTTAGTGAGCAGAGACGCGACGCAGAACACTGAACCAGGATGGGGAGTTAGAATGTGCGCAGAGATCGCGACGGGTTGCTCGGTACTGACTAACATGCAACGAGTCGCACTTTGATGCACACCTTGGCCGTTCACTTGAAGATGGCGTGACGGCTCTGTTCTCGACATGATGACTCGGAGTGGTTGCACTGGGGATTGGGCGACAGGCGCCCAGAGGAGCTCTTCCTGGCGCGATGCTCTCGATGGTCACGGCAGCCTTCTTCTTGCGAGACCTTTGACCTGTTGTCGAAATTGGGATCAGTAACAAAACAGAGGCGCTAGTCTCACTTGATCGGCCTCTGCGAGGAGAACTGCCTACGACGACGGTTTTTCCTGGTCATCACTTCATCCGACATCTCAACAAAAAGTCCTTCCAATGCATTCCACGAGATCGCCAGCAGATTTGTTGGAAATGCATAAAATAATATATGTGAGCCGGGGGATTTACATTATAATGTGATATGGCCAATGTACAACGGAACAAACAAATGTCCATCCCTCGGATTAGAGAAAAGACAAGGAAGGTACAGCTCGGCGATACTGATGCATATCTCCTAGTACCCATGCGGACTACTACTAGTAGCAGGAAGGATCAATTGCCTGGGAGTTAAATCCTACTGTTTCGAGAAGCAACGAACGCTAGCCATATATCCAACGAAATATTAAATACATACATGTAGCTTCTTCATTACACAAAAGGCGATGGCGTGAACACAGCTGTTTATTACATCTTTGTGGTTATGTCAAGAGAGAATGAAAATCACTAGGCAAGTTTGATGACAAGGAACAACTTGACAAGCGCGGAGCACACCTATCATTGAAAGTTGTTTACCATTGATTACGCTGTGTACCGCCTGCAGAGTATCGGTTATCTGACTCAGAGGTACGAGATCCCAGTTTGCTCGAATCATAGCCATAGGCACCTTCACTGTGCCGGCCAATGCCGGATTCAGGAGCGTTGTAGCTACTGCCTCCGGGTGCAGCACCAGGGGAACCGTAAGAGTCGGTGCCTGAACTATAACGGCCTTGGGTAGATTCATAACCACCATAGCCGCCAGGGCCTGCCTGAGAGCTAAGATCACCGGTGCCTGTTGCATAATGACCCGCTCCAGGACGAGAGCTGTACTCACCAGCACCAGACCCATAGTTGCCGGTGCTAGGTTTGCCGTAACTGGTAGTATTGGATCCATAGCTGCCCGCGTCCGTCTTCGATCCATATTCGTGAGATCTGTAGTCGCCGGTGCTGTAGTCGCCGGTATTGGACCCATAATTATCGGAGGGTCTAGATCCATAGCCAGGATCTGATTCATGCTTTCCAGAGTTAGAACTTCCAGCCTGGTCATGATGCTCTATACACGAAGTCAATTGTTAGCAAAGGGAGATATATATTCTCACGGCGGCTGGCTCTCATACCCTTGGAATCGTGGTGATGGCCAGTCACCGCATCTTTGACCTTGTGAAGGAGACTTGACATTGTGTGGTGCTTCGAGGTAAAAGATCAATCCTTGAATGGGATGTATATCAGCTTTGGGATGTATTCCTTTCAAGTCACGAATCGATGTTTTTTGAGGTTGTAGACACCCGGCCGTGGACATTGATATATACCGTAACGACGGGCGGTTGTACGTCTTATTATAGTACACGGACGCCATCCAGTCAGATTTGCATGATCAGTGATGGAGGGTCAAAAGCTGGTTCAGTTTAGGACAATGACGAGGGATGTCTTCATTATGCTTTTGCTCTGCGTATCTTGAAGCCAAAGAAGACGATTGTTTGTGGTACCCACCACGTCACTAGCCCCAAACGGGACCAAATAAGCTACTAACTAGTAATTGGAACCACCAGCCACGACCTCGTTCGGTGACCGCCACAAACCCCCCACGTTCAGCGTTCCACCTTTACCCATCGTAAGGGGAAATAGACCCACAAAACCATGAAGTGGTGTTTTTTACTATTGGTACTGTGCACTGCGTAAGTACTCTTCGGGTGGAAACCTTTTTGTCGTATGGTCGGTATATTTGGATGGCTATAGAAAATTGAGCTGAGGAGGAAGCCACGATTCGGCATATTCCAACAGCCACATCGCTCATTTTTCAGGCCCCAAGGACATAAAGCTGGAAGTCTTGTGGAATACATATTCTATGAATGTTGACGTAGAATGATTCAAGTTCTCTCGTATCTGGAACTTTACGTCACGTGGGCAATTAATATCGAGATGAATGGACATCCATGGATGTTCTTTCCACTAGCACACAAATCGAGCCTAGGGCAGAGTGGTCCCGTGAATGCGCGTAGGGCGACGATCGAAATGCAATCCGTTGGTGTGGGGTGGGGGTCGATGACAGCATGATCTGCGGGAGACGATTTCTTACCTTCTTCAGAGAGGAGTTCTTGAAAATCGGGTCTCCTACGGGTAATATCAACGACTTGGTAGCCTTGGGATATTGCAGGTGTCCGGTGATGGTCAGATATTGTACGATACACCTAGTCGTAAGACCTGGGAGAAACCACAACAAACAAACCAGGAATGTGGACTCACTCTACCACGGTCACCAGGTCGGCAAACGATTCTGGGGAATCAATAACACCCAAGAATCATTATTAGAGTTAGTGCCGGCGTTGCCTGATCGTCATGCCTGAGGCACCATACCCACTATCCCGTGACTCCGAGGCTGTGCTGCGCTTGTTGCGTGTTACGGAGACGCTCTCCAGGCGCTCGAACAGAGTCACCCTCACAAACTAAACTCTCGTCCTTTCTCCCCTTCTCCACCCCCCGGTCGCATCATTCATGACTCTCTGCAGCTCCTTTTTCCCTCCTTCATCTTTTGTCCCCGGGTGCTGACTGAACATCGTTAATTTGATTCGCTTTCCCTTTGTTGTTTTCCCTCCCCTCTCGATGAGTGCCCGCTTTAATCTCCTTCGACGACCGTCCGATTGGTCATAGCTTTCAGTCAACAACAAAAAGAGCCACCGTACCGAACACTGAAACTCTCCTGGAATCCTCGTCGATTTCCCTTCCAGTCAGACAGAGGCAGTCTTCCGGTCGTCTATCTCTGACAAGGCTCAACTATGCGACCGCCACGTTTGATCTTTCTTGTTTTCTGTTTCATCTTCTTTCCGATCTTCCTCACTCTCTTTTCGGTTCTTACATCATCGTCTCGTGTGACCACCCCCAGTTCGTTCGCGGGTCGAGCGACGGGACTTCATGCTCTCTTTTCTTTCAACATCCCCTCCTCGCTATTCCCACCGTCTGCTATCATCAGTCTGACCGATGATAACTCGACATTCTTCCTGGCCCGGCCCGCGGCGTTTGGCCCGCTCCTTCCCGACAAGGGGCTCAGCGGTCAGCTATGGATCGGCAGCGGATTCGGAGATAGAACCACTGCCGGGGCGGAAGGTGAACTAGGGTGTTCAGATATTCCAGGATGGGGTGAGGGCGAGGGTCACAGGCAGGACATCCCAGCGGTGTCGGATCCCATACTCGGGAAGCCTGTGCCCGGTGGTGGAGCTGACCCGGCAGCTTCGAATATTCATCGTACGGATCCTAAGCAGGACATCGACGCACAAGCCAGCACAAATGACGGGGTGGTGACACCGTCGACGAACGATGGCACGGATGATCACCTGCACCACCCACTCCCCGAATCTAACGTAGCGGAGTCGGGGGCCTCTGAGCAGCGCGGGGATAGCCACCAGAACAGGCAAACTGAGCATGCCGATATACAGTCTTTACAGGAGAGCGCTGAGATCAGTGGTAAGGTTGTTCTATTGAGTCGGGGTGGTTGCGGCTTCTTGGAGAAGGTCAAATGGGCTCAAAGGCGTGGAGGGATCGCGTTAATTGTGGGGGATGACACCCGTGGAGGTAGCCTTATCACCATGTACGCGCGAGGCGATACATCCAACGTGACAATTCCCGCACTATTCACATCGTATACCACGGCGCATCTACTCTCGTCGCTTGTTCCTCCGCAGGCCGGAGGAGATTTGAGCGTAGATGATCCTTCTGGGCAACGCCACACAAAGCTTTCCAGCCAGAGTACGATTGGAAACCAGCAGAAAGCGCCTACGCTGACATCTGCCGCGGCTGTGTCACCAACCTCCACGCGATATGCCGCATCACCTGGTGGGAAATCGACCTCGGCAACCCGCAAAGCAGGCTTCATTCAGAGTCTCGTGTCCCTGTTGGGAATAGGGAGAAACAGTGGACGCGTACCAGAGGATAGCCAACGACCTCCCAGCAGTGGGAACATTGATTGGGTTCTGAAGGATCCCTGGGATGATATGGAGATATCTGAGGACGACACCGATCGTGTTACCAACCGGGCAAAAGCCGATAGCGGTGCTGGCGACCGCAAGAAACCTGAAGTTGCTTCTCAAGAGGCCGACGGTGATGGGTTTATGATTGGTGTTCAGGATTGGCGTGACCCAGACCTTCTAGTCCCGATCAGCAGTTCCATCCCATCGCCGAGCAATGTCCCGGAGCCGGACGCTAGCAAAACGCAGACCACCGGGAAAGGCTCACGCCCCACAGGTTCCTCGCTCAAGGGCGGTAGCATAACCCCAGGAAGCGGTGAGTATCGTACTCTGGATAAATCAAAAACTAGCAAAGGAGGGTTGCACAGCTCCAACCACCAGAGCTTGGCTAGTGACACCCAAGGACACCCTAAGCAGAGCAAGGGATGGTTTGCAAGACATTTCTCTTGGACGAAGAGTGACGAGAAAGATGCGAGTCGGCCTTTCAGGCGAGACTATATCGAAGATCGAAAGTTGCATGGTGCATCTGCAGTCCAGGGCCTCCAAAACGCTGGACAGCTGGAGCATGAGGGTTTATGGGTCACACTGACCCCGACAAGCATGTCCACTAGTCCGTTCTTCGATACACTTCTGATACTCGTCGTGAGCCCCCTGCTTACACTGACGGTGGTGTATGCTCTTTTGTTGCTGCGCTCTCGCATCCGTCGACGACGTTGGCGCGCCCCCAAATCGTTGGTTGACCGTCTTCCCGTAAGAACTTACCACACAATCAGCACATCGTCGTCAACATCATGCTCGTCCCGGTCCTCTAGCCCTGGCCCGGTCTCACCAACTTCGCCCTTGCTGGGCTCAAAAAGCCGTTCGGGACACCATCGCTCTCAGGAGACACCGGAGGCCATGGTAGACCTGAAGAGCTCCAAAAGGAAGTCATCCAAGAAAGAGAAGTCCGGCCCGTCATCCGCGCTCTGGAGGCGCAAATATACTGGCCGGCAGGTGGAGTGCGTTGTCTGCCTCGAAGAATACGTGGACGGACAGAGCAGGGTGATGAGCTTGCCCTGTGGGCATGAGTTCCATGCGGAGTGCATGTAAGTGGCAGTTAACCTAATTGTCTTCTGGTAAGTGTCGCTAACAGTAACAGTACGCCGTGGCTGACCACTCGTCGGCGAACCTGTCCCATCTGCAAAGGGGATGTCGTTCGGTCAATGTCCCAGAATAAGGACACTGAAACACGCGAATCTGCGGAGTTGATTGACCATACCTATCGTCATGAACTAGACTCACATTCAAATGCATCGTCCGCTCCCGTCCCAATTACCAACCACGGGGAAGATGAAGTGTCTGACCTCGAACGCCGCGGCGGCTCAGATGTTGGTCTGCTTGAGCGGCACTCATCTTCGGCGCCTCCGCCCAACTGGAGAAACTTCGCCGCCCTTAGCTTCTCGGCCCTTAGCGGGGATACTATTTGGCATCAAGGCCGGACTGATCGCGAGCGATAAAAACTTTCACTTTTCCTTTTAAATACCCCTGGCATATAGTTACAGCAGAGCATGAACCCCGGTTCCTTCAGGGATCCTCCGCTTTGCGAACAGAAAATTGTTTCCCATTGGCGATCATTTAGGCTGTTCACATTGGACTTTGGTTGGCGTTACGGATATGGTGTGCAGGCGCAGTACAGGACGAGACAGATCATTCGCTCTATGAGGCGGCTGAACACAGCCCGCAGCCAATGATTTCATCCATGTTTCCTCTTTCCCGGGCAGTTACTAGTTTCTTTTTACTTTCTAAATATGGTGAATAGCATTTTCTGATTGTATTGCGACGGCACTCCCCTTCTTGTCCTGCCCATGTCTACTGTCTATTCGTCTATTTATATGATGATGTATATTAAACTGGGTGTGGGTCGAGGCACTCGATCTCTCGATCGGGTAATATAAATAGATGCGCTATTGAATCCCGTGACGTCATATTCCCGGCGCTAAGCCTCCTGAATCAAAATAAAAACAGCACTCCAATCTTTTCATGAGCTCTCGCAACCAACAGACATTCGCCACGCCATGGATGACAAGGCCAAAAAAGCCCTCATTGAAGAGGCCAAGCATGCCCAGGAGGTCGCTCAAGATGTCGCCCTATCAGGCGCATATATCTATCCTTTTAAGGTGAGCGATCCTTTCGACAGCTCCCTAATGCGAGCAGCGAACCAGATATGGTCACCTCACAATTTTTGCGCAACATGAATACACGCAAATCCTAACAGTAATTGCGCGCAGGGCATAATTTATTTTGCCTACCACAAGGATCTCTGGCGTCCGCTCCTCTCGCAACTCGGGAGAATCAGTACCCTCGGTCTTAGCGTGACAGGCACTATGTTCTTCTTCACCTATGTGCCACAAGTAGCGATCATGTCGTTCACCAGCGGCCCCTTTGCGCCCATTTCCGCCGCTTTGCTTATCCTGAGTGAAAGTTCTACGATTACGAACTTTCTCTCCCGTTCTTTCCTCCTGGAAGAGGCACTGACGGATACCTTCGACGGCACGCTCGTTGCCCGCGGTCACGAATCGCTTGTCGCGGAAGGTCGACAGATCAAGCCCAAGGCGGGCAGAGATGCCATTGCCCGACTGGGAAAAATGGTGAAGCGGCCCCTGGCTCAGTTGAAGCCACAGGCGTTGCTGCATACGCTGATCCTCCTGCCGCTGAACTTTATCCCGGTGGTGGGAACTGCGTTGTACGCCTATGCGCAGGGGAAGAAGCTAGGGCCGGTGGCACATACGAGGTATTTCCAGCTGAAGGGGTGGGGTGAGAAACAGAAAGATGCATGGGTGGAGAAGAATAGAGGGGCATATACGGGGTATGTTCGCTCATTCCTTTTCGAGATAGTTGCTCGGTATCGACTGTTACTGACATGCTTGCTAGGCTCGGAATCGCCTCGTTTATTTTGGAAATGATTCCTTTCGCTTCCATCGCGTTTTCATTCACGAATACTGTGGGCGCGGCGCTGTGGGCGGCGGATTTGGAGGCCGCACGCCGGTAATTTCCTTGTATATATCCTGGTTCAAACCGGCATTCAGTATCCCTCTGGGAGTGTACAGTAAAAGCATTAGTTTTGGGAACTATTTTTGCATTCTATCGTGATGCGTGGATATTTATATTAAACAAGGGCTTCCATTCGGTTCAATTCCATTTTTCGTCTCTCTGGGGCTCCAGATTGGGTGGAGACGGGGCATTTTGGAGTAATGGCAGCACATTCAGTGCTCTTGCTCCAAATTATTCGGGCTATTTATTGTATGTTTCTTTGTAATTGCAAGTGTGAGAGATGATTTGCATTTAGGGCCGCACATTCCTGAATTCTCTCATAAAAACATAATTGTAGAAGGCCGAACGAATGCATGGATAATTCTTAATTTTAGTACTAAAATGTCTGTATACTTCATTTTACCAGTTCCGGAACCCGAAGAAAGGACTCGGGAAGGACGTCACTTGTTTATCGAATAACCTCTTCGAGAACTCGAATATGGATCTTATGCATAAACCCTGTGGTAAACGGTTACCATGGAATTTCACACAAGATACACATACACAACCACAAGTCTTCCGTGAAAAATAATTATGCGACTTGTTAATCAGTACTGTCGGCCTTCCATCTTTCGTCGTCAATTGTTGTACACACGTTGCCGCTCCATGGGTCTGTAGCCCAGTACCTCTCTCTACCGTAAAGGCCATCCGCCATTAACACCGTTGTTCTTGTCTAGGTACATCGACTAACCTCGAGCTTTTCTCGTATACCTCCGGTAGATTTCTTTACAATGAGGATATTCGATTACGTGAGCGCTATGTTGAGTTCGACTCCAGCGCCCTCTTACGAGAGGCGGGACAACATATTGGCCCCAGTCATGGCCCCCCCGCGTTTATCAGGAAACTCGCCGAAGGAGGCTTCAATCGAGTTTTCCTTCTAACTATGGACGACGGGTTCGAGGCCATTATCAAGGTTCCATATCAAATATCGGGGCCTAAGCACTACGCGACCGCCAGCGAAGCTGCCACTCTACAGTACCTCCACTCCAAAGGCATCCCTGTACCCAGAATATATGGTTACTCTTCTAGGGATGATAACCCTGCTGGCGTCGAATACATCGTTATGGAGAAGGCGCCAGGTGTCAGTTAGAGACTAAGTGGCATGGTATGACCAAGCGGGAACGGCATAAGCTCGCATCCAGTTTTGTTGAAATCGAGAAGAGGTTCTTCAACATTCCTTTTGGGTCTATTAGGAGTATTTACTTTCAAGAGGACATCCCGTCCGACCTTCAAGCCGCGCTATACATTGCGAGTGCCGAAAATAGCGGTGACTCGGAGAGATTTTGCATTAGCCCCACCGCGGATTACATGTTTTGGTATGGGAAACGAGTTGGTCTCAACATCCACCGTGGACCCTGTGGGCTTACCTTATACTTACTGCCATAACTTTCAGCCTTTGACCATACATTGTAGGGAATGATCCTATGAAGTACCTTGCGGCGATCGCGGAGAAAGAGATCGAATGGACCAGGCGGTATGGGAAGTCAATGGAACTTGATTTTCTATATAATGGTGTCTTTCCTGGGGAAAAGGCTCCAGAGGATTATCTCTTTTCCCTAGAGAAGTACCTCGCATTGGTGGCGTATCTTCGTCCAAATCGGAATGATAGTTTTCTTTACAATGAGGATATTCGATTACGTGAACGCTATGTCGAGCTCGACTCCAGCGCCCTATCTCCTCCAGCATAATCTCAATCAGCCTTTGGTGCATGGCTGCTGTGAAGAATATAACATGCCTATTTTGCATTCCAGCAGAGCAGTGAGTGGATTCAAGACCGGGTTTATCGCCAGCTTCTTCAACTGCAGATGGAGAACTACCTCGACACTCAGAAGCAGGGCATACAGGTTGGGGTTGTTGGACACAGCATCGACGAAGGGCCGGGCAGAACGAATGAGCTGATGAGGGAGGAAAAAGTTATGTCGAATATTCTCTAAGCCAACGAAGGATGTGATGAAGCTACATCATGGAGTGACTAAAGTAGCTGTGATCCTACTACTACTTCATTCATGCACTACTCTCTCCAAAGGAATGACTAAGTTCGGAATTTGCATATGTGACAGAAAAGCCCCGCATAGATAGGGCATGTTGCCAATACCATCCAAGCCTAGGGCAACAGCAACAGCAATTGCACTGGGACATTGACATCATTCTCAACCCCCCATCCCCCCGGCGCTTTTTCGTTGTTCTTTTTCTTTTCTGGGTTTTCGACGTAATGTTCAAGTGTTCCACAGGAAATACAATAAGCCCTCGTTTCATAGCCACGGATGTACGAGGAAGCATTCGGACTTCGTAAAACGCCTTCGTTCAGAGGTTGATCGAGGATAATTGGTGAACGTGGGTAACGTCTTAGAGATGAAGGGCTGGCTTAATCGAAGTTGAGCTATTGCTCGACAGCTGGGGTAGGAGCAGCAGGAACAACGATGGTCTTGATGTGGTCCACCTCCTGCACTTCCAGCCCATCTGCAGTTTGAGCAAGGTGGGGGTAGTCACAATCTGATTGACCACCACAGCATCGTCGGAAATTCGAAAGGCGTTCCGAGATAGAGCTAACAAGGCAGTCATTGCCGCCCCGGAAAACACCGTTGAGCGAGTTGCAGCATGATCTGGTTTTACCGGCATCCTGGTTGCCATTCACATAGCACTTGCAAGCCAGAGCAGGAGCCGACAGCATGGCGGCAACCGTAATGGTGAAAATTGAGGAGAACTGCATCTTGGAGGACTTGAAGTACGCGTTCTAGAGAATTCCTGAAGTTGTGTGAAAGACTAACGATTGATGAGGATGGAGAACGATATGGAGAAAGCAACAGGAGAAGTGAAGGGTTTATATAACTGTTGGAACTGGAATTTCTTCGTCCTTGGTCTACGATATGGCCCAACCATCAGACCATAGACCACTATAGACTTCGTTCTGTATTGCAACAGGAAGTTGGTAGCCCGCATAAGCAGCCATAGTCACGCCAGACCCGAGACCCATCGTGAGCCCCTTCGAATAGCTGGCCTCGTATGTTGCACCGGCTGCCTCTCTGCAGTTTTTGTTAATATATGGTGCGGGGAGTGTGGTATCGAGCGACGTATCCAAGCCGCAGTGTGCCCTTCACTCCACGGAACATGTCTTTTTTCGTTTAGTAGATAGCAAGGGTCATCAAGCCTCTCCTGCCAAGCTGAGACATCACGACCAAGAGTCGCTTCTCACAATGTGCTTCAGATTCTCATTTATCCGGAAAGATTATTTTCTCTCCGCACGCTCCGTAGTCCGTATGCTTGCATGCCCTTCCTGCGTACTGCATAATAGCACTGTTGCCACAGGTTGGACCTGTTGATACCTGGTATACTGTCCACCATCACCTCCCGAACATGCTTGGCCCTGATATAGAGTGCGGTTGTCTGTATCATGTTGGGGATGAAATAAACCAACACGTGATTCCAGTAAAGACAATTTAAATCCCATTGGCTAGTAAATGCACCTGCGGCACGTCCGGGTACGGCGGACTAAATCGAGCTACTAATGGACAATACTCCGGAGTACGTCAGATTTTGCGACTTTTGACAGAAATCTTAGCGTTTTACATAAAGCCACGGCACCTTCTAAAGATTTGGCCCTATATAACAGCGGTTATTGCTTCCAGGCGCACCGTAAGTAAGACACCATTGGCCTACTAAGTGCTATTACTCCGAAAATACACCGTGATCTAAATTAGTTATACCCTAGCCTAAGACCCCTAGAGAACTTGTTCCCTCACTTATCCCTAGAATACACAGAGTACGAGAAATCTAAAATCTAAAGAGAACCATAGAGATATAGTACCGGGACGTCTAAAGCCCTAGTACTGGAGTCCCTTCTGAAAGACTCTCAAAGACAGTCAATATCCCAGAACCAGACTAGTCGATAAACCCAGAAGGTGGAACTATAAAATTAGTGAAAACCTAGGGTAAGCACTAACGCCTGATAAATACATGTAGTTGGTGAATATAATAGTAATAAATCAATGTGGATAAAACTGCGTTGGAGATCCCTGCGCTTATTTGAGCCCTATATACTACAAGCCTTCTTATGACAAATTTGGAACCACCTGGACTCAGTTGAACTCACACGGGCTGTACTCCTAGTCATATTTGACTAGGTGGATAGGCTCCTTCTCTCGAGTTTCTCTTCACTCCCCTACTAGCGCTATTGTTAGCGTATAGTCCATAATCGGCGACTTGGCCTCGACACTCTCTGCCTGGCAACCGCCAGATGACTTTCTCATACTCGTTGCCAGTGGCGCCCGACGAGCCTGGTGTCAGAAGACTCTCGCCTTGGGCTCCAAGTATTAACGAGTTCAATTCTACTAGTGATGATTCCTCTTGACAGCCCTCGATTATTGATGGAATACCAAAGGACATTATGCGAACACAACCATTCCACCGCATTGGGATGCTCACCAGGGCAGCTGGGGCAGCCCTGCTGTGCAACCTATGGACGGCGTGTCTTAGCTCCAGGCAATCGGAACTGTGTTCGGAGATTCTGGCCTGGATGATACTGCCGGCTATGTTTAAGGTGGTACGACGACTAAAGGCTAACAAGATCCGGACGAGACCTCCCTTGAGCGAACCAGCACACCAGCCTCAGTCTGCAAAGTCATTATGGTTAGTTGCGTTAGGTATTTCTACATCTTGTGTTTATCAAGCAGAGATTGGGTTGGTTGGAGTCTTTGTAAGTAACGCTTCTACCACAGGAAAGGGAGTTGGCCGCGGAGCTGACCACAGGCAGCCAGTATTGACACCGTTACTTCTGATAGCGGAGAGGTATCTTGGTTCTGAATTCGGGGATTCTACAATATCTAACCCACAGTATTTTACTCCTTTTATCAACACAGTATGGGGTACAGCCGTTGCTGCTTCCTTTCTTATTCTTACTTTGGCAGATTGGGAGTTTCAAGGGTATTTTCTCTCGGCGATTCCAGTTGTTGCTTTACTAGGTGTCTATGTTACTCTTTCGCAGAGGCGAAACTCTCGGTTTCTCCCTTTCCTTGATCTTGAAGACACCATTCGTCCCCTTGCGTTGCGCGTTGTGAGCCTTTTGGTCATGGTATTGGGTGCCGAGACTGTCGCGTTTGGCTTCCCTCGAAACCTTGAGCCTACAATCATATTCATATTGGGCTTCGGAAAAGCTTTGACTTGGTATTTCTTCACTGTGATAGTATGTTGCATTCGTCATGGAGGGATCGAAGCAGAACTTACCATTTCAGTAGACTCGGCATTGTTCCTGGCGTATTGTCACTACCATAAGAATGTTCAGTGCTATATCTACACGAAATCTATTGATGCTGTCTTCAGATACCCAGGCCTTCTTACATATCATAGCGTCGCTCCTGACACTCGGTCAGGTGATCTATATGCTCCCATGGCCAACAAAAACCCGATCGGCGCTCGCAGGCTTTTCTCTTGTAGCTCTTATTCCATACCTTACCGACACTTTCAGGATTGCACAGTCGTCCATGGTCTCGTCTGGACAGCATCCTATCGAAGCGTTGATACGCACCGCCCAGGCGGACTTCGACAGTATACTCCGAAACCAATCCCCAAACTATACGGCCGCTTATAACGAATATCGACGGCGATACGGTATGGACCCGCCACCGGGCTTTGAAGGCTGGTATGAGTTTGCCAAACAGCATCAATCGCCTATGATTGACGAGTTTGATAACCTCTACGAAGTCATCTCACCGTTCTGGCAATTTAAAGGTCAAGATATTCGTGATATGATGGATGAGATACAAAGTATGCGTATGCTGCACAGCGAGCTGTGGTTCTGTACGTTTTCTGGTCAGCAGGCGAAGACTCACTGTAGCCATCCTGGTCGCACTTTTGACAGACACATACAATCCTCACTTGACCACCTTTTGAAAGACCTGCCCGGCATCCTGCCTGACGTCAAATTTCTTATCAATCATCTCGATGAACCGAGAGTCCTGATCCCCCCACAATCGCTGGGAGAAGATGGCCTCCTCAGTGAAGGCTTCAACTTAACGAATCTGTCGAGACGACCTGTTTGGGAGGTCGTTACGAAGTCCTGCTCCTCCCGGGAAACGTCAAGGGCGCAGACTACTCACGCGACTGAACAGTCTACCCTGCCCTTCGTTGTCGATCCCGCACTGGCCATGGATCTCTGCCAACATCCCGAGTATAGTGCCATGCATGGTCTTATCACGAGTCCCACTTCTTTTTATCTATTTGAGGGTGCAGTGCCGATCCTTTCCACGGGCTCTCTTTCGACTATGGGTGATATCCTATATCCCAGCCCAGCTTATAATGAGCCCGAGTTCAAATATACCAAAGATACACACGATATTGACTGGGAGAGAAAAAAGAACAATCTGTACTGGGCAGGCTCTACCACTGGTGGCTTTGCCGTGGATGAGAAGTGGCAGTACTACCATCGACAAAGATTTGTTCAGCTGGCACAGAACCTAGAACGGCATCAGTATCCTTACCTCCAGGAACATGATGGTGTGATTAGCCAGATAAAATCGTCGCTATTCATTACCGGCCGGCTATTCGATGTGGCTTTCACTCGAATCTTCCAATGCGAGCGAAGATACTGCAGGGACCAGCATGCATACTTTAAACTAAAGCCGTGGGCAGATAAAGACCAGCCTCTCCGGTCACGGCTTGTGTTTGATATAGATGGAAACGGTATCAGTGGCCGGTACTATAAGCTTCTTGCTTCTAAGTCAGTTCCATTGAAGCAGACCTTGCTACGGGAGTGGCACGATGAACGTCTCAGGCCATGGGTTCATTATGTTCCAGTTAGCCTAAGTATGGAAGAGCTTCCAGAGATAGTTCGGTACCTTACATCCACTGAGACTGGGCAGAGAAGGGCTCGAGAAATCGCAGAGCAAGGCCGTGACTGGTTTGCTAAAGCCTTCCGTGATGTTGACCTGACCATACATATGTATCGACTAATGTTAGAGCTAGCCAGGCTACAAGATCCGGAAAGGCTGGCTGTCTGATGGGAATATCTAGTTGAGTATTAGGACGCACATATGCTTAGATTTAACCCCTGCAGTCCTGCTCTAGTCGTCTGAGAGTAGCCTCATGTGCATATTTGCTGTAGCTCTGCACAAGTGATCAACTTCCATCTGTTCCAGAGAGATGGCTTTAGAAACACCAATTTAGAGTTGGTCGGTATGTAGTCATTCTCTAGGAAATACAAATCCTTGGGGAGAAATAGAGTGGCATCCAAGATACCACACTATTACTACGGAGCCAACAGGATCAATCGCATTCCTAGTATCTTCCAGAGCGTACAAACCTGTCGTACGTGGGGCTACGCTAGTAGGCTAATGTCTCAGACCTACAGAAAGCCGGCCTGCCACTCTTCCGTACTCTAGCGCCTTCGAACTGTACCATAAGAACCCACCCCTGTGCCACGTTGCCCAATATGAAAAGATGCATATGCCAAGATGCCACCATGGAGGCAGCCTAGGCCAGAACCTACGGTTGCATTTGGCCGGGTTTCTTCGCTAGTGAAGTTCGCTAGACTTCACTGGGCCTCTACCAGTTTCCTGATGTAGCAGATAGACTTGGTTGCATGTTTCTAACGGTTCGAAATTCTAGCTATGCTCGTCCTTTTTACACGTCATAGACTCTTTCGCAAACCTGGACTCCATCGCCGTGCTCTCTTGGGTTTGTCGATATGTTTCATAGTCTGGACTGTGCTGGAGGTGCTTTTCATTCAGCACCGAGTCTCCGTCGTTGATCGGATTCCATCCACTCCGCCACACCAATTCGAGCGGATCTTTATTGCCAGTACGCACTGGAACAACGAAGCTATCCTCCGGAGCCATTGGAACAATGCAATTGTCCAACTGGTGAAAACATGGGGCCCGGAGAACGTTTTCGTGAGCATTCATGAAAGCGGGAGCTGGGACGACACCAAGGGTGCGCTTCGGGAACTCGATCTCGAGCTGGATCGATTAGGCGTACGGCGGAACCTGACCCTTTCTGAGACAACTCATCAAGATGAGATTTCAGCTCCTCCGAGCGATGGCTGGATTGACACTCCCCGTGGCCGAAAGGAATTGAGACGCATACCATATCTTGCTCGGCTGCGCAGTCTAACCTTACGTCCTTTGGAGGATTTGGCACGCAACGACATAGTATTCGACAAAGTGCTTTTTCTAAATGATGTGGTCTTCACGGTATGCGTCTCAATTTGTACGAGAATCGTATATAGGCTCATTGACCGCCGACACAGGTGGACGATGTGATCTCATTACTCGATACAAACGATGGTATTTACGCCGCTGCTTGTGCTTTAGACTTCTCCAAGCCTCCTCGCTACTACGACACATTTGCTCTACGTGATTCTAACGGAGATGAGACGTTGATGCAAGAATGGCCTTATTTCCGCAGCGCAATTTCGCGGAATGCACTGCTTGCGATGACTCCAGTACCTGTGAAGAGTTGCTGGAACGGTATGGGTATGAGCCCTTTTTATTTTTTTTATTTTTTTATTTTTTTTTTTTTTTTTCAATTCATTCTGAAGGACAATGAACTGACCATACACTACCATAGTAGCCATGCCAGTAATCCCATTTCTATTAAAAGTACCGTTACGATTCCGTGCAATCCCCGACTCCCTTGCGCAGTTCCATCTGGAGGGCTCAGAATGCTGCTTAATCCATGCCGATAATCCTCTGTCCGCCACGAAAGGCGTTTATTTGAACCCTAAAGTTCGTGTTGGGTATACTGATCTGGCATACGCAGCCGTTCATCCTACGGCGACGTGGATCGCGCTTCACCATATCGCCCTGGCCCTTTGGGAGAACCGCATTCGACGCTGGACCACGAGTCCGTTCTTCCAAAGATGGGCCATTCAAAGAAGAATCACCAGCTCGGAGAGACATGACGAGACCCGTTTTGAGCATGCTACATTCTGTTTAATTGACGAGATGCAGGTTGTTGTGGGGAATGGGTGGGCTCATGTGTGATCCCACATGGGGCATTCAGGTGATTGGTAAGCGTGGCTGTATTGCTGTGGGGTCAGTTGATTACCAATCATCTCTCTTGTTACGGTTTCCTCGGATTGTACTGCAGCTCTGTACCAGGACGGTATGGAAGATTGCACTGGGTCGAACCGAGGACATGCCAAGCCGAAATACTGATTGGTAATCAATCTCACAACTATAGAGTAATAACAACTATATGGCGCTTACGAAGTCGTACAGCTTAGGTCTCCTCTCTTTGCCTGTCATTCACAAATTGATTGTTGAGCTATTTTACACATGTAAAGTTGTATTTCTCAAATTCTGGCATCACGACTATGAGTTTGTTTGTAACTATTTCACCGCGTAGCCGAGGAAGCCAGTTGACATAAAAGTGGGTCCGTATCAACAACTGTTGAGTTGCATAACCCAAGAGCACGGTGATCTAGAGGTATGTCCTGGAAACTCCACCAATGGTCACCTCTGTATCTGTTTCCATGTATGGCCACGGTCAGAATGCCTCTGAAAGAGGCCCACGCCCCTGACTTTAGCTCTTTGGCTCTGGAGCCGGACTGTCGATGACAGTGTTTCCCGTATCTTCTGCTGTTTTCAAAATCCCTGTATGTCCTCATCTCTTGCTAGTGCTTCCCTTAAGCGTTGTCTACCTACACGATTATCATCCTGATCTTAGAATGCATTGCGTCAAAGAAAGATGGCAGGTCATATTTCGCCCAGACGACCCCAACGTATCTGAACATCTGCCTCCACCACCTGACGGCGGGCTGCAAGCTTGGATTCAGGTCTTATGCGGCCATCTCGTGTTCTTCAATTCGTGGGGAGTCAGCAATAGCTTTTCAGTCTTTCAGCAACTATACACTCAAACGCTGCCGCAATCAGCCTCCACGATCTCGTGGATCGGAAGCGTCCAAGTCTCTCTTCTTTTCTTCATGGGTGCTTTTGCCGGCCGTGCAACGGATGCGGGTTATTTCCGCCTGGTCTACTCGCTCGGGGTCCTCCTCCAGCTGGTGGGAATATTTACGCTCTCTCTCTGCAAGACCTACTGGCAGATCTTTCTCGCTCAAGCCGTATGCATGGGACTGGGAAACGGGCTCACATTCAGCCCGGGACTCTCGATTACGTCTTCTTATTTTATGAACAAACGCGCCTTTGCAGTAGGCCTGGCTGCTGCTGGCGCAGCAACAGGAGGATTGATTTATCCCGTACTTATCAACCAACTCCTGTATAACCACGACATTGGCTTTGGATGGACAATCCGCGCAGCAGGACTACTGATGCTGGTCACCCAGACTCTAGCAATGGTCCTCTTCAAGCCTCGTCTTCCGCCGCGGACAACCGGCCCTCTCATAGAATGGGGGGCCTTTTCCGAGCCTCCCTTCCTGTTCTTCACAATCAGCAAGTTCCTCAATATCTGGGGTCTCTATTTCGCGTTCTTCTACATTGGCACCTTCGCCCGCGATCGACTCCACCTCACAGATACCCAGAACCTAGTCCTCGTGTTACACGGCGTCGGCATCGTCGGACGGATCGTGCCCAGTATAATCGGAGACCGCTGGACGGGCAAGCTGAACATCCTGATCCCCTTCAGCTTCGCCTCAGCGATCCTAATCTTCTGCTGGATCGCCGTAAACACAGTCGCCGGGTTGTACGCCTTCACCGTCGTGTATGGGTTGGTCGGTGGGGCAGCTCAATCCCTCTTCCCGGCCACGGCGACGACCATGACCCCGGATATCAAGCGGACGGGCACGCGTCTCGGCATGATCCTGAGTATTGTGGGCTTTGCCACCTTGACTGGGCCTGCGATTGAGGGCGCTTTGATTACCCGTGCCGGGGGCAGCTATGTGGGGGCGCAGGTTTTCGCCGGCGTCTGTATTGTATTAGGCGCGTTTGCGGCTGTTGCTGCGCGGGTGGCGAAAGTTGGCTGGAAGTGGGATGTAAAGGCGTGATGTTGCTGTCTTTGTGGTGTTTTATGTTGGGTTCGAAACTATTCCGACGTGCTCTTTGCTGTCGAGATGTGATGGCAGGGTCAGATGAACGTAGGTGACTTGGACATGTTGATCGAACCAAGTCTATGACAACTTCTATAATGAGTCTTCTTTAATATACAATGAAGTCAATAGATACAGGGATTTGACGTGGTGTATATAGTACAGTAATAAACAAGATATCAAAATAACTAGATGCTGAATATCCAATAAGCCAGTATAATCCAAGGACCAAGTAACTAGAAACCTCGCTCAACGTAGTCAATCCAAGACAATAACACTCAAGTGCCAGGGCCAAAAAAAAAAAAAAAAGGGAAAATCACGTATTCATCAGCTCAACGAATTTCGCCTTCCAATCTTGGACTTCCTTTGCCGATTCTCTTGCAACCTGCAGCTCTGCCTCTAGAGACTCATTCTTTGCTCGAAGCTCTTGAAGCTCCCTGTTTGCATGTTCGAGCTGGGCCGCACTCGCCTGCAGCCTTTCGAGGTCTTGGTCTGAGAATCGCCGATGTTCTAACTCCCGGCGCATAGCCATCAGACTAAGGTCGCGAATCTGGATGGTCTGCATGCATCGGGCATTTTCATTGCGGAGGTTCTCATTTTCTAGCCTCAGTGCTTCACTTGCCTCAACCTCTCGGTATAGCACATTGAATGCGGCATCGACCTCGCTGCGCAGGCTTATATACCGCGATTTTCGCTGGCGTGGCGGCTGCGAGACTCTGGGCTGTGTATTCCCGTTTACACCGATATCTTCATTGTTGGGTGAGGCTTCCTGGACTGGAGCAGTCGCTGGTATATCCTGTCTGTCACTGATGCTTTGTTCATGCGTTGAGGAGGCCTGTGGTTGTCCATGCAGGGGTGCAGCATGAGAGCGCGGAGTTGCCACAGAAATATTGTCAAGCTCTATTGCCGGAACAGCCGCAGCAGGACCACCACGTCCCTCTGCCAATCGTGGCGAAGCGGGTGGGGTAAGCGCAGGAGGAGCTACATGCCAGCCGCGACGCACGCACACGGCGCAAAAGAGCTGGTTTTCTGCGTTCCGCAGCCACCCAGCAGGCATGCACTCGCCATGCAGTGCCAGGCGGCAGGTCATGCATGGCTCGAGTCGATCCGACTCCCAACACACGCGACAGTAATCCTCATGGATGGACCCGTTTCCTGATGAGTTGTTATCATTGGTGCTGGTTATCAGCCTGTGCGAGGAGAAAGAGCTTTCTTACGTTTCCATTCTTTGTGTCTGTGTATTTGGGAATCAAGCGACTCCTTTTCGAGCGCAGCTAAGGTGTCTGGCCAGCTTATGCGTGGTTGCCCGATAGGTACGTTGGCACTGTCGTCCTGGCTCTGTTCCTGGTTGAAAACCACTGTCTGGTCGAGTGGAACTCGGCGAGGGCCTCTCTTGTTTCGCCTAGCGCGTACTTTTTTTACACCCGTAGACTGCATATCGGTTTCTGTGCTTGATATGCACAGTCGGGAAGGTGAATCAAGGAGTCAGTCTGCTTGATCAGATTCAGTTGGCGTGGTGGCTGAGATGGAATTCTCTCGGCAAACTAGCGCACTGCTTATCAATCACATTGAGTCTCCCGTTCCTCCCCGATATCTGACCCCTCGGCTCTTGCAGCCCCGTCATTCTCCTTGCGAATATATCAATCACTCCATGAACTCACGCCGAAGCTGGACACAGTATTCCATTAAATTAATTTCCTCTCTACACAAACGACGAATAAATAGAAGACAACATCGCCACACGCTAACCCCTTTACAAACCGCTTTGGTCGTTGGTGCCCCAGGTGCAGCTTGTGCACTGCCATGGATTGGCTGGGGCACTTACATCCTTGGTAAAGCTGCGGCTTGAATTTGAGAATATGGATGACCACTAGTATACTTGTTCAACTGAAGCATTTGAAGTCCATCATACATCAATTTCTTGGCGAGAGGGGCAGTGCTGCATGTTGGCGGCCTGAGGTCAGCCTTGCAGTCCCGTATATATTTTTTAACTGTGGAGAATCTCCCACTTTTCAATCTCTTGACCCACACTACCTAGTCTAAAGCATCGAAATGTCGCTTTACAGTCATAGCTCTCGACCGTCTCACAGCGATGAAGAACGTAGAGAAGACCCATGTTCTCTATGTCGGACTGTACACGGGGTCTTCAGGCTGCGACTCAACCGCACTCATCCTGCACAGTATTCCTATATTGATTTCTCTGATGACATCTTAAAACAATTTTTCCATGATGACTGTTCCAAGTGCTTGGATATTGACATGGATTCTCTATGCCCGCCTTGTAAGCATATGAGGCTGGGGCATCTTCTGCGATGTGTCCTCCCCGGGTTCAATCCGGAAGCAGCAAAACCTGGATATAAGACGATCTTGAAAACAGGTGTGGTAGATTTGAACCTGGGGACCCTCCGCGAATTACAAAAGCGATCCACATCTTGCCAGACCTGCCGAACCTTTGTCTACCAAGCGTCAGTGTTAGCAGATCGGTTTGAATCTGCAACAGACGAGGTAATAACGCTCTCAGTGCAACGGAAGCCTGGGGTGATCCGAGGTATCCGGCATGAATTCACGATTCAGCCGTCACTTGGTAGATCTTTTGTGGATGCACGTTTTGCAAGTATGCTGGGATTCTCAGGATGAACTTCGACTCGTCCGTTTGCTATTGAATCAACATGGCTAATCGCCTGTGTATTCTAGAAAGTACAACATTTCTTGCAACTATCGACCCGGCATCCGGCAACAATCTGATATCCTTACAACGGCCGCAGCCGAAAGTGAACTGGAGCGCAGTCTCTTCCTGGCTCCAAGAGTGTGACAATAATACTGAGCATGAGAATCCTTGTCGCCCTGAAGTACGCCAGTTACCAGTTCAGGGATTCCGTGTCATTGACGTAGAGAAGAGGCGCGTGGTACTCTCATCTCAACCCTGTAGATACGCTACATTAAGTTATGTCTGGGGTAGAATTGAAAACTTCCTTCAAGCAACTACAAAAAACATCAGACACCTTGAGACGGAAGGATCTCTGACCAAAGAGAATTACTTATCGGCAACAATCGATGATGCAATCTATGCTTGCTCCAGATTACAGATACCATTCCTTTGGGTTGATCGTCTATGTATATTACAAGATGAGAGGTCAGACCAAAAAACAGCCCAGCTCAACGCGATGGGTCAAATCTATAGACAGTCCTATTTAACCCTGATTGCGATCGCAGGAAGCGATACTAACTATGGTCTTCCGGGCACACAGGGGCAGCAGCGGTGCCCACAGTGGACGGGCCAGACACAGGGTATTTACCTGTTACAAGAAATTGACGATTACTACTGGCTGACCAGAGAGTCCAAGTGGAGCAGTCGAGGATGGACATTTCAGGAGTCTGTGCTTTCCCCAAGAATACTGGCTTTTTCTGACCAGGGCGTTTTCTACCAATGCCGACCAAGGACTCATTTTAAAGACGAGGATCATGGAGATCAAGAACTTGGCTTCTCAATAGCCCAAATGCCACTGTCGTCATACGAGGACTTAGTATCCGAATTCACGGCTAGGGATCTCACCTATAAGTCCGATATACTTGACGCCTTCTCGGGGGTTTTGCACTTGATATATGGAGTCGAGCATCATTACGGTCTGCCATTTAGTGATTTCAGTCGGGCAATTCTTTGGGTAACCGAAGACGGGAGATACCCCATGCGGCCTCCGTGCATTTCAAAAACGTTTCCGTCATGGTCATGGTCCTCTATTGATAATGCTATAGCACCAGCCTCTGGTAGATGCAAATGGACTGAGATTTCTGCATCATTAGCCCAATGGGCAATACCACCAAGATATACACAATCCTTTTTGAAGATCCTTCCGAACCCATCTACGCAACAACATGAGTTGGATGATGATTCCAAAAAGGTTTTTCCTTACAGCCAAGAGCACATACTGGCTCGACTTGCTGTGTTGATGGCCTGGAAAGGGGGGTGTTTTCCTGGGACACTCCCAGACTGCCTTAATGAAGGCACATGGGAGCAATATGATACCATCATCCGCCAGAGATGGGGATCACTCGCCGGCATGACTGACGAAGCATATTGCATGCAAGGGGGGCATCTTACTGCCCATGAACAAGAGACAAGATTTCCAATTCAAATGCAACATGCTTGTACAGATGGATGTATTATGCTTTTTACCCAGTCAAAGCGTCTTCAGATCAGAGAAAACAAAGAATATGAGCAAGCTATGAAACTTTTCGATCAAGACAGCGGTATAGTCGGGTGGCTCACACACCATAGTATCAACTGGGAGCGGCTTCGGAAGATTCCCTCGTGGAATTGCGGTGCTGAGTTTGATGTTCTGGCTCTGTCCATCTCGTACCAGACGCGCTGGGTCAATGAGATCTGGGGATTCACCGCGGTCAAAGAATATGGCCGCGAGGCGTCAAACTGGTATGACTCGGCGGGAAAATGTTATTTTATCGAGGAAGATGATGACAAAGAGTACCCCTGGATCAGTCTTCCCTGCGTTAATTTGATGGTCGTCGAGACAAAAAATGGGATCCGCAGGCGCATTGCGCTAGCAGAGGCTCCTCTCAAAATCTGGATCGAGTCGAAACCCGAGTTTCACACATTTATTCTTGGTTAGATAGATGATAGGATACGCTCTACATAGTCAAAGTGGGGCAGCTGGACAACCTATACTCCAGCTGAATCTGTTGGTTACTATTTTACTTTTCATTATAGATGCCTGTATTCTCAAATCTACCTGCAGAAATTGTATATTGCTTCAGGTTGCGCATGGTCTTGGATATGACAACAGATCATCAACTGTGCTTCTCCATTCTATACAATACTTGAAGACCCAAGGGCTCTTCCCTCCTTACCACCATATGTAGTCAAGGTAGGCTTTACGAACTCTACCATCAATCCATCATTATACTAGTTCCGGTATTTCTCAAGTAAATACTCTACCGCGAACATTGTCACTTCATATGCTGTCATCCCAGTGACCCAGTCTTGATTACACCCATTCTCATCTGGAAACCGAGACATCTTCCCAAGACCAGTACTACTATCCAGTACTCCATTTTCTATATTGCCAAGAATGAATGAGGCGGATAGAGGAACACTACAATTTGTCCGTGCATCACGGAGTGAACGTGATATACTATAGCCACTTGTCCTCAAATTTCACCCCCCGTTTCATATTCGTCGAACCTCGGCTTCAGTCTTGAGTCACAGTTCACTCCCCTGGCTACGAGGGATTTGTCCGTCGATCTAAGAAACGGAATTGCTAGTTTGTTTATTCTGTTATTCACTCGGAATACCTCGGAATACCTCGGAATGGTATCGTATGTATGTAATATGTAATTCTGGTAAGATACATACGTATATTTCCAGATGCCCCCTCTAACGCTAAGCCTACTCTGAGAGTCCATGATCGCGATCATCCCACCCAATACGGAGACTTCTTATTGGCTGTATCGCTAAACATCCTCGTCACTACTTAGTAGTATTTTGAGTCTGCCCCGGATCCACGATCTGCAAGGCTGGGGTCCACTTTTGTGAGTGGTCTGTGTGCTTTTTGGCTCGGAAATTTAATCCGTAAGACTTTAGTTATCTTCTTACGTTATTGCGTTTGAGTAACTGTCTACATTCATGCATGCATGCATAGCCCTAGTAGTACTAGTAGTTATGTGTTCGTACTGAATTGAATTGCCGTTGCGGTGGGTGGCCTTCATCAGTAGGGTAAAAACTAACCTGTCTGCTCACGTTCCCCCTATTAGTGGTGAACACCACCGAATTCTGCTTCGGTATGATTTAGGAAGAGCCGACATC